ACAAACATATATATATATATATATATATATATAGTAAAAAGATTTCTATAATTAAACTGTATAATTGATTAACTTGGATTTTTTTTTATTTTTTGTCATCAAATTAACTTGGATTTAGATTTTAATTAGTTAACTGAATTATAATTAGTGAACTCAGGCTCTATCTATAATTAACATGGATTTAGATTGTAACTAGATAACTGGATTTCTACTAATTCTAGATATTATTTCTTTTATCTTTTTAGATAGGTCAAGACTTTTCACCGCGAATGCTATCAATTGCTAAAATTGGAAAATTATTTTAGAGATTTTTAAAATACAATTAAATTATAATTTTCTGAAAATACCACAAAATTTAAACTAAAACTTTAAATCTTTAAAACTAAATTAAAAAAATACTAAACCTAAATTCTTTTTAAAATTATAAATTTTGCAAAAAAAAATAAACGTTTTGTGGTATTTTTGGACTACATCATTTATAGTAAATTTTTAGAGAAAAGGTTAATGATCGTACTTTTCAAACATAGTTTAGAAATTAGTGAGATTGTAGGACATTTCTCTATTATTTTTTACGTTAAATACTGATTTAAATCAATGATCAGCTCTTAAATAGTATAATTTATATAGTTGAAATTGTTTTATGTTCCTAGAAATGACACAATGAACCTGGACGGAGTAAGAGAGGTACAAATCTATGAGCACCACTTTGTGTTTTGTACATTTTAATGGGATGACAGCAGTAGAAGACAAAACAGTTGTACTTGTACTACTCCTTTGACTTTCTATTTTTCATGTCCAAAGTTTCCTCCAAATAATTAAGATTAAGAAAAAAAAAAACAATATACAATAGATTAACTAAAATTGATATATTGTTTGAAAATCTGATAGAATCTAATATACATTCATGTTTTTTTCACCATTTTTGTAAGTTAATACTTATTTTTCAAAAAAATCGATCCGTTAACACTCTAAAGATAATTAACTTGGAAAGAATTAGGTTAGAGAGCACCATATATAGAGTATGCTAAACACATTTTTTCTTATCCCCATTTTCTTTAATCACTAATCAAAAATATTATTTTTTATTCTAAAGTATTTAGAAATTTTAAGTTTAGCACGTTAAGTTTGAATATAAAACATCCTCTATGTATATGTCAAAATAGAGTCATAATATTATAAAAAAAATTATTTATAAAATTAAATAATATAAATAGCACATGGTTTTAGTATTTTAACTTAAATGTCACATTAAAATAATTATTTACTATTTCAATGGACTAAAAATTTTTTAAATTTAAATTTGGGCTAGCATTTTCTTTAATTTAAAGGATAATAAATTTTTGGGTATTAATCTCTACACCGCATATATTGCCAAAGTCAACCTTTTTGGTATTTCCATTTTATTCCTCCCAATATCAAATCAATCAAACACCTCAAATATTGTTCGATGTTATTATCCTATTTTGATTTATTAATGTATTATGTTGGCTTTGGCTGAACTTATCAAAGTGTAACATGATTTTTCTAACAAAAAAAAATGAAATCCAAGTTGTAATCTTTAGAGTTGACTTTCAAATGTGTCACAACTTATATAAACTACGAAGCGACATTCTAATCCTTCAAGAAAAAAAATTTACAATTCCTCAAATAATATTATCTTCCGGCTAAGGTTTAAAGCTACACCTCATTAACACATTACAAAACTAGTCATTACTTCATGTCTAAATAGTGTTTCTTGGTAACAATTTCAGGCATATACATCATGGCGAGGACTAATCCACCGGACGGAGGAGGGTCCGGTTCAAGAAGGACATCAGATGATGAGTCAACACACGTTCGCCAGAGAGTGCTAGCTCCTCCGAAAACCGGTTTGCTCAAGGACTTCAAGTCAGTGGTTCAAGAAACTTTCTTCCATGATGCACCACTTAGGGAGTTCAAGGGCCAGACCAAATCTAAGCAGGTGTTGCTCGGGATCCAGGCTGTCTTCCCGATCATCGGGTGGGCGAGAGAGTACAATCTTCGCAAACTTCGAGGCGATGTCATTTCCGGTCTCACCATTGCTAGTCTTTGCATCCCTCAGGTTTACAATTCAAGACTCCATTTTTTCCTCATTTCCACGTACCTTTTGGTGCATTTCTAAGTTTCATACCAAAACCAAATCTATAACTCATATGTTTGTTTCATGGATGATAGGATATCGGATATGCCAAGCTCGCGAATTTGGATCCAAAATACGGACTTTGTGAGTCTTAATACATTGATGATTATTATGCGAAAATTGCAAGATTTTTATGAGAAAATAAGTAAGCTATTTATATACTCTTGTATACAAATATGTGAATGCATGGTTTCTTTTTGTGTGCAGACTCAAGTTTCGTGCCACCACTTGTGTATGCGGGAATGGGAAGTTCTAGAGATATTGCGATAGGACCAGTGGCTGTGGTGTCTCTTCTTTTAGGAACATTGTGCCAGGCTGTGATCGACCCAAATGATAACCCTGCGGATTATCTCCGCCTTGCCTTCACTGCCACTTTCTTTGCTGGCATTTTCGAAGCCGGCCTCGGTTTTCTGAGGTTGGGATTTTTGATTGACTTTTTGTCGCATGCCGCGGTGGTTGGGTTCATGGGAGGAGCAGCCATTACCATTGCTCTCCAACAGCTTAAGGGCTTTCTTGGCATCAAAAAGTTTACTAAGAAAACTGATATTGTCTCCGTTATGAATTCCGTATTCGGAGCCGCTCGTCATGGGGTACTACTATTTTATTTTACATCATCTTCCTCGATTTTTCTATAGTAAATAAGAGGTTCTGGACGGAAACTCATTCGCTCTCGTTATTCGTGATTTTTCCAGTGGAATTGGCAAACTATAGTCATCGGTGCCAGTTTCTTGACCTTTCTTCTCGTCGCCAAATTCATCGTAACCATTTTATTTTTCACCTACAATACACATATGTGTGTGCATCTTTGTTATCTCCATATCTAATATGAAATTTGATTATAGGGGAAGAGAAACAAGAAACTTTTTTGGGTTCCGGCAATTGCTCCACTTATTTCCGTCATTATCTCTACCTTCTTTGTCTTCATAACTCGTGCTGACAAAGAAGGAGTCCAAATTGTAAGCTTACATATGCATGCATGTCTATATATATATATATTTTTTTGTAAACCGTCTATATATATATATATATATTTATCTTCATGGATGAACTATATTTGATAGGTCATCTAGTATACCAACAATATGTTATCATTTTAAACTATGAAGGTGAAACATATCGATCAAGGAATCAATCCAATTTCCGCCCATAAGATTTTCTTCTCCGGGAAATATTTGGCTGACGGAATCCGAATTGGAGGCATTGCCGGTATGGTCGCCTTAACGGTAAGTCACATATATGCATATATGTAAGTTTAAGAAATCATTAAATCTTTTTTATTCTAATTCGCCAAGTTATATCGAAATAAAATTTTCTCTTTCAGGAAGCTGTAGCAATTGCAAGAACATTTGCAGCAATGAAGGATTATCAAATCGATGGGAACAAAGAGATGATTGCCTTGGGGACTATGAACGTCGTCGGTTCACTCACTTCTTGCTACATTGCCACGGGTAAGTTGTGAAAACATTAAATGTTATTGAGTTTTGTTAAATTTCAAACTGAAGATACTTATACATTCAAGAAAACTATAGGTTCGTTTTCGCGATCTGCGGTAAACTACATGGCTGGAGTCCACACCGCGGTTTCAAACATAGTGATGGCCATAGTGGTAGCTCTAACATTAGAGTTCATCACACCACTCTTCAAGTACACTCCAAATGCTATCCTCGCGGCCATCATTATATCGGCTGTCCTCGGTCTTATCGATATTGACGCAGCTATTCTCATATGGAAGATTGATAAACTCGACTTCTTAGCTTGCATGGGAGCTTTCTTTGGTGTCGTCTTTGTCTCCGTTGAGATTGGCCTCTTGATCTCCGTAAGATACCTCACTTATATAATAGATTATCATATAAATTAAAGCTTAGTTACTTATATATTTGGTTCTTGGTGAAACTATTTACATATAGGTGGTGATATCTTTTGCCAAGATACTGTTGCAAGTGACAAGACCAAGAACTGCGATTTTAGGGAAGCTTCCTAATACGAATGTGTATCGGAACACTCTTCAGTACCCGGACGCTGCCAAGATTCCCGGAATCTTGATCATCCGTGTTGACTCTGCCATCTACTTTTCTAATTCCAACTATATCCGTGAAAGGTAAATATTATATTTTAAGAGAAATTTCATTGGATAGCACATTAAAAAAAAAAAATTCAAAGAAACCGCAATTTGTTTTTATTCCAAAAATACCACAAAAAAAAAAAAATTTCCAAAAATACCATAAACATAAAAATCTGATTTTGAAGATCAGATTTTTTATTTTAAAATGTTTTGGTTGACTATCTATATTTTTAGTGTATAGTTTTTAGGGGTAGAGTTTAGTGTTTCAGATTTAGAATTTAATTTTGAATGTTAAAAATATTAGATTTAATTTTGTGGTATTTTTAAAAAAAATGTATTTTGGTGGTATTTTTAGAATATAAAGCTTATAATGGTATTTTTGGAAAAATACTTATTTTAGTGGTGTTTAAGAGAATTCTCCATATTTTAAACTCAAACTGATAATATAGTTAATTGGCCAAATGATTTTTAAAATAATATGAATTTGTTTGTGTTGTTTTCCTATTGAATTTTAAAAATTTAATTAGTCGTTGGGGATTTAATTAAATGGACTACTTCACTTTGATGTATATATGAAAGACTTATGAAATTATTGAAATTATTTGTTGGCAGAGCATCAAGATGGTTGCGAGAAGAACAAGAAAATGCTAAAGCTGATGGCATGCCTTCAATCAAATTTGTGATTATTGAGATGTCACGTAAGAATAATTTTTTTTAAAAACTATAATGATCATCTTCTTCTATAACAAATAAATAAATAAATTCTACTAATTTTATGAGTTTATTATATAGTGAAAATATTAAAAAATATTGATCGTACAATTACAAACTTATTGATGGTATATATGAGCAGCGGTTACTGATATCGATACTAGTGGTATTCACTCCATCGAAGAACTTCACAAGAGTCTCGAAAAGCAACATATTCAGGTATTTAAATTTTCTTATCATCAATGTAACAATTTATCGGTAAAAGTTCGATTATTTTAAATTGTTAATTCTTATATATACAAGCAAAAAAAAAATACTTATTTTTTTGTATTAGAATTTTAGAGTTTTATATTAAAATTTAATAACAAAATTTTGGTTGTATAATAATAAAATTTAGAGGGATTTAATAGTTTGTTTGTAAAAATGTTAATTGAGATATTATTCTTTCATGTGATACTATTTTTTTGGATTCTTAATATACAATAACTGAAGTACAAATAAATTCATCTTTATTTGTGTATGCACCTAAATTAGTGGTATTGCTAGTAGTTTTTAATATGCGAATGCGATCATACTGAAAAATATCGTCGATCATCTGATTTGGTTAATTGGCTTGAAATTGAACAGTTGATCCTAGCAAATCCAGGACCAGTGGTGACTGAGAAACTTTTCGCTTCCCAGTTCGCCGAGGAGATCGGAGAGGAAAATATCTTCCTTAGTGTTAGCGACGCGGTCGCGGCTTGTTCTCCGAAATTGGCTGAGCAGCAAGCTTAATATTGTCTATTCATACATATACACATCCATATACGTATGTGACTATGTGTGTATATATGAATGAGGAACTGATTTTAGAACAATGTGTTATTTTTATTTTGAGATGATTTGATAATATGTGTAATACATGGTTGTTGAGTTTGAATCATACAATGGCTTTTATTTCTGTTTAATCGCTTGAATGTTTTTTCTCTCGTGATTTGTGTATTATATGAGTTGTTGAATAAATTGTACTTTGAACTATGTTAATTTGTGTTATGTAACCCAAATATTTGTCACGATATTTATAATTGGAATTTGTCATCATTTTTGGCCATTTTTATTAGCTAAAAATACATTGAACTTAGTATTTGATTCTTGATTTGATCTATGAGTTGGAACCTTTGTGTCCGAATATTCTAAATAGTATTTTCTAAAAGAGTTTTATTGTTAGTACTTAGTAGGGAAGGTTGAGCAAACTGTATAAGCAATTATATATTTATATTTAAATTGAATTAAACATATGAAATCAAGAGAAGGTCAGCATAAAACAAACTCATCTCAATCTATCAGATATGATCTGAATCAACCTCCCTAATTAATCATATTCTTAATTTATTCCTAATTGGCATTTTTAAAAATATGATTGGGATTTGTGTGATTAGTTGACAGCTATATACTGTTCATATATCCGCTTAAGAGGGTATGTACATTGATCTATCATTGTTCAATACCATAAGATTGACATTAATAAGATTAACCAAACTTCAACCTAAAAAATATTATATATTATAATACAGCTTAAAGAGTTAACATAATCAAAATAAAAACAAAGATGTAAGAAAAATATCTAAAAATAACAGAAGAGTGTACAATTGAAAAATGGTGATAATTATTAATTAGTAGTACACAACTGGAAAAATAACTGATAATAATCATATCTATTTTTATTATTTGTATGTTATTTTCTTTATAGAGTTTCTTTTTATATATTCTACTTATGTTTTGCTTAGTTTTTAAAAAATTTTGCTTGAATCTTTCTTAATTTTTTCCATTAATTACACTATACAATATTATTCTTTTACAATTATGAACCACTTTACCACCATATATTGGCTAATCAAATCCATCTATTTTTGGAAACACCTAAGTCTATTTCACCACTAATAAGATGTAGAAGGTTTAGATTATTTCATATTATTTTGTTTAATTACATAAATATTTTGTAAATCAATAAATATACACAAATGTAAGATGAAAAGCTCGGAGTTGGTAGATAGGTGTTGTCCTTAAACATGTCTTCATCAAGCCTTTCGGACATTGGCCTGCCACTCATTTCACCATCCGAACTGATTATGCAGTAAATGTCGAGACCGTAAGTAGGTTGTATATAATTTCAACCGACACACGACCACGCATATGGGATCCGACCATTTTCCTAATGCCATATAGACATTGCATTGCAAATGGGATCTCACAAGTCATCCAACTGCGTCAAGAACTCGAACAAATTTTAGCTTACTGGGACACACTTTTATTACATTGAGCAGCTTAACTCAGAGACATGCAATCGCAGTTCACCTTACATGGGCCAGATTCGACTCTTCTATATATATGTCTATGTTTCGGATTGTTGTTCTTGTTTTTTTTTTTGAAATAATAATTGCTAGTTTAGTTATTTTGTTGATATGTTTTTTACCTTATGACTTAATATGGTATCTTAAATAACTTCGGTAGGGTAAAATTAATGTCTACAAACCAACTCATGTTTCATTCAATAATTAAGATGTTATATTCTGGATAGTCCAAATTTTTCATGTTTATCGGGCGGCTAATCATTTTATAGTTGGTTTGGCGAATTATGCTTTTTTTGGACCATTAAATTTATATTTACGAGAAAAATAATTGAATAAAATATCTTTTAAATATTTATTGAGAAGTATCTTTTAAAAAACGTTCTTATTTTTGCTTGTAATTAACAAAAATATCATGCTGCGAGGTGTTGTGCAAACAAAACTTCTCATAACATTTAGGCCAATCTTTACTATAAAAATTACATATCGCGTATCATCAATGTCTCTTACATATCCGTAATTGGTATGTAAGTAATAGCTTTTGTAGGAATAGACTTGAAAATCTAATATTTAGAGGAAAAGACAATAAATAGCAAAGATTACAAAAAAAAAAAGTTTGCCTAAACAAACAATTGAATAAACTAATTCAAATTTATGATAAGTTACATCATATTATGTATTTGAACTATTGGAATAAAAATTGTGCATATTAAGAATTGGAAACTTCTAGATGACACAAAAATGGGTTATATATATATACTAATCCAAAACACAACAATATATTTTTAATATCTAAAAAAAATATAGTTATGAGTTCTAGGGATAAAACATTTTTATATTTTTCTACTAAGCTTTAGGTGTTACACTATGAGAAAACAAACATTGTTACTTAACTATTTATAGAGTTTACATATTGATGGCTAAAACTTAATCTTTTTAGAGTTTTGACCAAATATTTAGTATTGGTTTCTATATTTTGATTAATTAGTTAATAGTCCCTAGAAAAAGGGATTTCATATTTCTACTTATTTGTTTTTAAATATCCAATTACTATAATACTCCTTCTGTTTCACAAAAAGTGTCATTTTGACACATTCACACATATTAAGAAAATTTATAATTATACATGTATACCCCTATCTAACAAGGGATTAATGATTCAAATTCAATAAAACTGACTTTTGGGTTTAGGGGTAAATTAAGAAATTTCCTCTAAATCATTAATCACTACTCGAAACCTTTCCAACGAGATAGGACATATCATTTTTTTTTTGATAATTCAGGAGTGATCCCAAAGGCTTTCTAGGCCCAAAGACTAATTTTCTGAGGCCGGGGGAAACCATGATAAATCTCGAACCCCGTGGCCAATGCTACTCGAACCCAGATGACAGGACATATCATTACCCACAACCTTTTGATGTTCCTATCCATCACGTCAACATCTATAAGTCTGATCCACAACAACTCTCAGGTTTGTCTTTATTTCGATATCTTTCTTCTACTTCTTTAGGTTTTATATATGTATAACTTTACTTATATATCTCTCTATATGTAATAGTGGAGTACGAGAAGGCTAATGATGAAGCATGGTTCTTTATAACGGAGAGATACAAAAAAGGTATAAGTGGGAAGAAGCATAAACTTGCTGATGACAATGCAACGGTAGGTGCCAAGAAGATTGAACGTTACCGCGCTAGAAAACCTCACGGCGTAAAAACAGATTGGTTAATGCATGAGTACTCGTACGAGTCTCCTCATGATGATGATAACGATAAGGTACATATGTGTTTCTTGTGTTCCAAGTTACTAAGATTTTGAGACTTTTTGAATGGTTTTTTGAGGTTTTTGTTTCTGTTTTTTAGGTTGAGTATGTTTTGTGCAAGATTTATCTGACTCCATCCGCGGTGAAGAGGATGAAAGATAACGAAAAAGAGAAGGTGAAGAAAGGGAAAGGAAAATTGAAAGAGAAGGTTAAGCAGCTGGAGCAACCACAGTGTTGCTTACCATCAGCACAAGATCAGGAGCCGAAGAGTTTGCCTTATAACATTGATGATGATGACTTAAAAGACTTCGATGAATTTTTTGATTTTGTCGACTCTGAACCGCAACTAGAGGATGTTGAAGAGTTCTTTGCTGAATTCATGAAGCCAAATTCAGTGGTTGGAGATGAAGAAGACGTACCTAAAGATAGTGATATACTTGAAGGCTTCTTCAATGATGGGATGATGAAAGATTTACACTAAGTGATCTTAGGTTTCTGATTACACTTTTTCATTTTGGTTTTCATGAGTTCTTAAAGTCTAAATCTAGCTTTATGACTCCTTTTGATTCTCTTGTTTTGAGGCTATTTTATTCTTTGGTTATGTATTGATCTTCTAAAACTCAAAATCTTGTAATTATTTACTTTTGTTGCAATAAATTCACATTATACAATAAAAAAAGGATTACACATAATATACTTTTACTTATTTTTGTCTATACTCTCTCTTGTATTAAACAATCTCTCTATTTTGAAGACACTTTCATGAATTTGTTTTGTAAAGAAAAGTGTTAATTTAATCTACTAACAATGAGAGATTCTTTTGTTTTAATTTAATAACACAAAAAAATTTAATGACTTAAATTTTGAATCCAATAACCCCATGTTTATGAATATTTAAATTTTTTTTTTATAAATCAATAACTAATAACACCAAACTTTATAAAGTTAAACAATATCTTGATTGAATAGCAATAGATTCAACATAAAAACTAAATTCATTAAATTCATGATGATTGTACTTTTTATTAATGAGTATTGAATTGTTAATATTGGACTCCTTCTGTTTCACAAAAAAATGTCATTTTAGAGTTTTATTTTTGTTTCACAAAGAGTGTCATTCTACATTTTCAATGCTTCTTTTACACTAAATTTCCTAATTTTACTAATTAAACCCATAAATCACATATTAAATAAGGGCATATGTGTATAGTTTAATGTTTTCTTAATCTGTGTGAAATATGTCAAAATGACACTTTTTAATTTTTATGAAAGAGAGGAAGTATATAGGTTAGGTTATTGACCTAGCTAACATGAGTGTCCGAAAACCGTATGGTGTGTAATTCACTGGGACTCTGCAATTTTCGTTGTCAAAGAAGTAGTTATGATTATGGCTTCTTTCATAGAGAAAGGTGTTGTTGTGTGTATATAACTAACTAGTATGTATCTAAGATGAAAGTATATCAAATGTATTGATATTTCCTATAAAAAAAAAATCTATATTTATCACATATTTTTGAATGAATATACAGAAAACTTAGAGTGGAGTACTTCAACTTTACCAAATCAAAATCTAGAGTAGAGTACTTAAACTTTACCAAATCAAAGTTAGATTGATTTAAATTTCTGCAAGTTTAATAAAAATATTATAATTTAATGAATATTGAAATGTAAGAAGTTAAAAATAAAGTTGGCCAATACATTTTCACGTGAACATATCTAGTAAATGTGTTGTATATATTGACTATATTATTATTATGAGTGCACCACATAAGTAAACATATGTCATATGTAACTGTTGCCTTGCTAGCTAGTGATCACAAAATGATACAAATAATATGAATGTTTTGTTTGTTACTCCTCTATGCAAAAGACTTATTATAAATGATATCGAAGAAGAAAACATCATTACTCCCTCGAAGACTCAATAAATTCCTCTCGGCCACCGACTCTTAGTTTTTCCGAACGCTTCTTTCTCAAAGATTAGAGTGAGACACTGTATTAACTAGATTGTGTACATGTGCACTTCTTCTATCAATATTAATCTTTCAACATTACTATAATCATTCAAATTTTAAAAGATAAAAGCTATATAATCAAACACAAAACTTATTTTTAAAGTAATATACAACATATATATTATTGGCGATAGTGTATTCTTGACAAATAAATGATTTCATATTATTACATGCAACAAAAATCACTTGAAAATATTAGCAAGAACTTCTTAGTAAATGCCAAGAAGAGTAAATGTCATCGACGTACTAGCTAGAGTAGGTTTAACAAATTTGCTTTATCCATTGGGAAAAGTGCAATGTGGTATAAGAGAACTCTCGACGCTAAGTCATGAATGATCTTATCTCATTTCTATAACTAACGGTTAAGTCCAACCTATTAACTATGTTCAACCTAACAAATAATCGGTAAGTGAGAGACAACCTAAACCTATTAACTTATTTGAGCTTAATTATATTGGCTAAATAATGTGTTCCTTTTAATGTCAGAGAAAATAAACTCAATTCGAATATAAAAGTGTTGGGGCTTAAATTACAAACTAAACAGGCCAGAAGACAATAAAATGATGAACAAAATATATGAGTTTTGATTATTTGTTAGGTTTAACACAAAAATTATAAATGCTCGACAATTTTAGAAGAAGAGGGAACTTTCCCATTTTATATAAATTAGACTCTTGTCTTAGCTGTACTGTTTTGTTTTTGGATGAGGATGCTCGGGAGACGTTTGCCTCCTCTCTTTCACAAAGAAAATAAAATTAAGATGTCACTAACCAAAGATCCTTTACTCGGAGCTCTTAACCAAGACGAAATAGTTCTCTTTTTATTCTTTCAATTTTATATCAACAAGTAATAAGTTAAGTTCCATTTCTTATATTTGTCTTGGGCCTTAAGGTTTATAACGTATGGCTATGAACATCCTTAATCGAATATAACTGAGCAGCCCAACACATATATAACACTTGTTTTAAAGAAAAACTAAAAATAATACACATCAATTACACCAAACATTGAATAAGACCGTTGCATGATTGAAAACAAAAAAAAACAAAAAACTAACCTGAATATTGAAAAAACCATGTCCTCAAATCATGACAGTAACAAAGTTGAATTCATAGAAGAAATAATAAAAAGGAAAATAAAAATAAAAAGATGTGATTAACTAGAAAAAGCCAAAATGTAAGAAATAGAAGAAACTATAATGGCAACGACGGTGAGTGAAGGAACTGAGAGGATGTTCGTGCCACTAGTTAAAGGCGACGGTGCAGTCATTGACGGTGTCGCTTCCGAAGATGGCGAAGTCGCCGGCGACTTGGCTGCAGATTGAGTTTGTGAAGTCTTAGGTGTTGCTCCAGCCGATGGGGAAACTGCATCCACATTACATTCATGTATGAGTGGTTTTGACAATTTTAGCAAACATATAAACATAAATATATTACAAACAAAAAACTCTTTACAAATAAATCTATATAATATTAAAATAGCTTTCTAATTAAAGGTAATGAATGAGTAAAATATAAGATCTATAAATATTGGGAAAGTTGTTACCAAACTGTAATTTTCAGTCTCACATATGCTTAACATATTGTAACAAAAAAAAAATATAAACCACATGACTATAGTATTTTAAGTTACGAATGTAACGTGTTTATTGAGCAAAATATAGCAAAAATGGTATAATGAAATTAAAAAAAAAAAAAAAAACATAAGCTACTGCGATAGTAATGCCTGTATAATACATAGATTTTTGGTTTTAATACCAAATAATTTCAATACCGTTTATATAAACTCCTTTTGTTCCTAAAAGATAAATTTTTTAGGAATAAAATTTTGTTTCAAAATTTTTATTTTTTAAAGTTATCCATGCATTATTAATTAGGATATACAAATTTTAAGGTAAATAACTAAATAATGTTGGTTTAGAATTTAAAAAACCGTGAATCACAAAAAAATGATGCAAATATTATCAATTTCAGATGTTTTCTTAATATGTATGAAAAAGTTTTAAAAAATAATTAGTCAATTAGGAATAGAAGGAGTATTATCTATACTTCTATAGTAACAAGACACAAAAACATGTAATCTTAATGATCTCAATGTGGTAAAAAAAAAATGAAAAAAAAATTACAAAGCCTGAAAATAATACGTACCAGGAGATGCACTTGGTGTCGTCGTAACGCTTGGTATTATACCTGCAAGAAAAATTAACCAAAATATAACTTCAAAACCCAAAATAAATAACTCAAAAGTATTGAGAAATAATATATAAAAGTTAAGTTTTGAAAAAAATCACCACAATGAGGAGGAGATTTGGAGAGTTTGCAAGTCTTAGGAGTAGCAAGAGCTCTTGAGTTATTCAACGCAATACCCATTTGGCTAGCACTAACCAAACCAGCACAAATGCATTGTGGGTTAAATTGCAAAACTGTCTCTATACCATCACAACAAGATTTCTCTGGCATAGTCTCGTTTGAACCGATGCTAAGGTATGTGAGACAGTCCATCATGCTAAATATCACTGAAGAACAATCAGAGCCTGATGGTCCTGGTGCTGGAGCTGGAGACTTTGCATGGTGTGATTTGGTACGTGCATGGATTGGTGTAACAAGTGATGATGATGATATGAGTAGTAATAAGATTGAAAGAAGAAGAGATTGCTTCATTATTGCTAGTTTCTTTTGGTTTTTCTTTCTTTCAAGATCGTATGAGTTTTTTTTTTTTTTTTTGGCTAGGTTTATAATAGAAGCTAGATTGTGGTTTTTATATATGGGAAGTGAAAAAAAAGATAAGAATTGTGTTGTTTGGTTTTTGAATTTGAAGTCCGGTTCTTGTTGCTTAAATCTTGGAGATTAGAGATTATTGTTTGAATAAGTTATAAGTTTGTTATCATGGATTTTGATTGGTTTGTGTTGGTTAAATTAATTATTTGACTATTTTTTTGTTTTTGTTTTTTTTACAGCGTAAATTAATTATCTTTTAGGATAATCCGAATAAGTAAAAAGATGCTAACTATATTTAATTTAAAAGATAAATAATTAGGCTTCTCATATTAATTTTGAATTTTGATATAACGGAAAATGTTACTATGCCTTCTTTTTTTATTATTGACAAAAAAAAAAGATACAAAATCACCTACATAAACTATTGACAAATATTTTAGTTTAACTCAAAACAATTATAAATAGATTTGTATCTATATTAACATTTCTTGAGTGGTAATTAGAATGACTTGAGGAATCGAGAGAATCAAATAGGAATAAGAAGAGATATGTTAATCTTTCTTATGTGCATGTTGTTAACGTTCCGGAAATACACTGACCAATTTAAACCAAGGTTTTCACAAGCCACACCTAAATACTATTTCCTTGCTTGGCTTGCATGCAACAAAAAATCGATTAACAATGGGTGATAGAATGTTGAGTTGGAATGTCCGGGTTTAGTTCCTCTTGTGTGTTCTGTCAAGAGTCAATGGAGAGACTAGAAACCATATGTTCTTCATATGTCTATACTCAAGAGAAGTTTGGTTTGGCCTCATTTCAAAGCTTCTTGATAGACATTTCTCTTACAAGCTGCTCACGGACAACCTCATTAGGAAAGGTTTGATTGTTTCTTTTGAGATATACTTTTCAGTTTCTAGTTCACTCGTTGTGGAAAGATAGAAAAAATAGAAGACATGGAGGTTCACAGAAATTATATCTCGGTTTAACATTATAAAATAGTTGTTCGAGTTTACATTTTACAATAAAACGAAATTATACGTAGGTTCTAGTTTATAAAAGACGGTTATTGTTTAGATTTTACAATTAAACAAAATTTTATGTCGGATTGAGTTCACAAAAGAGGATTATAATTTAGATTTTATAACTAGACCAACAATATGTTGGTTTGAGTTTATAAAAAAATTGTTAGTAAATGATAATTTTGATTTTACAACTACATTAATAAGTGGTATACATATTTTGTTTCCTTAATCTGTTTCTTTAAATTTTATTATATGACATATTCTTATATTTTCATTGGTTAAATTTATAGGTGGTAAACAAAGAGGTTCATCCCCATGAGTGAGTCCAAATATTGCTCAAATAAGAAAAGCGTAGAATAGAAAACCGGTCGAGTAAATTTGAAAGAAGAGGATAAATGTAATTTTGTACGTTTTCTTATCACCAAAAATTACAAAAAAACAAATAATCCTTCTACTTAATTCTTTTATTTTTAAGGTCTATTTAGTAAAGTTTCTCTACTATATTTTAAAAAGGGAGAATTTCAAAAATACCCACCTCTTTTTAAAAATACCCAATTTTCAAACTTTATCAAAAAACCACTAAAAATGTTGAAATTTATCCAAATATGTGTGTAAGCTTATAAATATATACACAAATTACATTTATATGTGTATAAAACTTTATATATCTTTCATAAATAGCGTAAAAATAAATTGTAAAAACCATATAAAAATCTTATAAAAACTATATAAAACTTTATAATTTTTTATATTTAAATAGGGGTATTTTTGAAAATGGATAGATAAATGAGATATTTTAAATAAGGGGTACAACTAAAAGGGTATTTCACTATTTCTCAAAAATTATCTTTTAAAAATCCACAAAATTAAGGTTTTTATAATAAAATGAAGATTTCAACTCATGTTTTAAGACTCACTAAATATGACAACTTTACTTATTGGATACTCCTCAATCAAACCAAATCTGATCATCATACTGTCTCTATAAACTAATTATAGCATTTCACTTTTCAATAAAGAAACCACATTAATCACTTAAATCTATTACAAAACAAACAGTTACACATCAGTAACGGTTCCTCTACTTCTGCGCGTACGATAAAAAAAAACTACTCTCACGCGCCTCAATCATTTTGTTTGCTCTCACGTTTAAACAACACATAAGTGCTTACTCTTGTCTGTGTCCACACCACACTCATTACTTCTCTTCTATGTCCTCTCTTCTCTTTTATAAAAAAAACCTAATCCTCTGTGTGTAAAAACATATCTCTAGTTAAAAAAAAAATGTCCAAAGCGGTTTTACTCTTTGCTCTCTGCTTTTTACAGGTTCTTGCCATCATCGCGGCTCGGCCTAACAAGAACCCTTTCGTCGTGCGAGGCCGTGTCTATTGCGACACTTGCCTCGCTGGTTTCGAAACTTCAGCCTCCACTTACATTCCTGGTACGCTTTTCACATTCAAGATCCAATCTAAACCATTTCTTGATCTGCAAATTCTAAGTCTTAGATCGTGTTATGAACTTGTTAGATCTGTGTTTTGTTGTATAGAAGATTTGAGATCTTTTATTGAAATGTAGGTGCGGTGGTTAGATTGGAATGTAAAGATAGGAGAACAATGGAGTTAACGTATAGCCATGAGGCGAGAACTGACTCAACAGGATCATACAAGATCTTGGTTAGTGAAGACCATGATGATCAGTTCTGTGATGCAACATTGGTTCGTAGTTCTCAGTTACGGTGTTCTAATGTTTCCCCTGGACATGACCGTGCTCGTGTGACTCTCACCCGTTTTAACGGTATTGCTTCTGATGAACGTTTTGCTAATAGTTTGGGGTTTGTGAGGGATGCAGCGATGCCGGGGTGTGCTGAGATCATGAAGCTATATCAAGAAACTGAGGACTAAGTTTCTAAGTTTTATTATATGTATGTTTGTGGTATTACTATGTTGCAGCTTGTGTTTCTATTACACATCTTTGTCATGGTTTTATTACTAATCGAAAAAAATACATTTGGAGTCTCTTCGCGGTTGAGAATAGAATACGAAAACATACAATGATTTTGCAGGTAGATTCTTAGAATGAAGTTACAAATGTTTTGATACTCATCATGGGATAGATCCCTTTGTTTGAGGTTGATGCTCGTCTTCAGAGACATCCTGAGAGTTGAGGTGAGCAGTACTGTTAGAGGCGGCACCATCAGAGACCGATAAGATGCTAAGTGAGTCTAGAGAAACAGAAGCTATGTTCTCCAAGGCAGCTAGTCTTTTCTTATCATCCTCTTTCATTCTCTCTGAATGCAAGTTTATGTTGAAACCCGAGTCATCGTTTCCACCAAACGCTGACTCCATCTTCTCCATATCGAAATTCTCAACCATTATCTGCTTACTGTTTGGGTCATCAGAGTAAACAAACTTCACTTTGTTCCGTGTCTTTGGCTCTAAGAACGGCCTCGCCACCTATAAAACAAGAGTCAGTTCACACTTTAAACCAACACTAACCTAAATGAAAGCAGGTTTCTAACCTTCCAGAAGGGTTCAAAGAACTTAGGAGGATTGTAAAGAACAGCAAAAGCTAATCTCTCAGGGTAATGTTCTTGTAACACATGAGCTGTCTCTTTCGTAGTTCGTAACGACACATTCGCCAAACTATAGCCGTGGAAATCAATCATCCACACCATTTGTTCCTCCCCTGGTGGCAAATTTTGAATAGCATTCTCCATACAATACACAAGGTACCTAATCTGACCTTTCACAGACTTCGAATTCTGAACAATTAGGAGAACGAAAAAACTAAATACAAGATCATAGTATAAGCAACTCTCTACATTGCAACTGATGATGAAACAAAACAAACCTCAACACTTGGTCTCATAACAAGAACAGGTCTTCCAAGTTTATCTACACAAGTCGATCTATATATCTTCCCTGTCTCAGCTTCACCAGCTACTTCCTCCTACCAAAACACAACACATCAGTCAATACTCAAATGTATCAAACAAGATCACACAACAATGTAAACTTCATAAAGTACCCAACAAATCTCTTCAGGTTTGTATTGGACTCTCCATTTCAAGGTTTCTTTAAGCATCTTAGTAGCTTTCTTGATATGCCAATTCCTAGCTCTTAAATACCTCAAAACCTCATCATCAGAACAAAACCTCGATAGTTTCTCTGGTAATGTCCCTAGCAGCTTCCTCACTTCCTCAATCTAAAAAACACAAATCTGATTAGAACCCAACTCTTAAAAACACTAAACCAAACTAAAAGTTATAACCTTTGCTTGTTCTTCTTCAGTTGGAACAGGTTTGACAAACGCATTAGTAGTACTCACTGGATTAGGATTCATAACTTCTATAAACCCTACAAACAATGTTTCCAAAAATCCCAAGTCAAAATTATTACATTAAGAATCTAATTATTGAGCTAAGAGAAAAATTAGTGGTCGGGAAATGTTCGATCTTGAAATCGTTACAGACAAGACAACACAGAATCAAAAATCTTGATCTTGTCGGGAGGATCTTTGTCTACTAGTACTGATAAGTACATTGAAGAAAGGTTTGAAGATTTAAGAAAACATACCTTTGGGAATCGAAGCAACAGAGAGAGAAGGGCTTAGAGAGAAGCTTACGAGTTTGATAGAAGTCAAACAAAAAAAAGAAAAAGAAAAAAAAAACACGAGAAAATAAAAGTGGACTATTTTAATATTTATGATGAAAAAGAAATAAATATATTTCTGTGATTGAGAGATCTGATCTTTAACGGGTAGGTGAGTAATAAAACAGAAAACTTTATGAGTATTTTGCTTTTTTTTGTTACCATTCTTTTGGTAAGATTTTGTGTTAATTGTAGTGATTAATGGTTTTTAAGTTTTTTTTAAAAAAGTTTGCAAAGGTTAAAACGTTTGTAGAAAATCTTTTAAATAAACAATTTATTATGGTTGATTTGTAGTTCCGTGAGTTAAAGTAATTTGCAAAGGAAGGAAGACTTCACAAAATAAAATAAGGGAGAAGACGGTTAGATATGGTGATTTGAAATTCTGGAGGTTACATGAGATCGCCGAGTAAAGCTAAGCCACTATCGATAGATCCCAGATTTACACCTTATTTATTGCCTTTTAATTGTATGACGGAGCCTAAAGCCTTTTCGACAACAACATCTCGTTTTTTTCTTTTCCTCAAAGTTTCTCTATGGTGGCGGAGAGACAAATAGATCCTCGGAGTAGATTAGGGTTTTTGTAGTGATCAATTAACTTCGGTTCTAAAAAACTGTGTCGGTTTTGTTTATGATTAGTCTAGATTGGTTGATGTTACAGATTGGGCCCTAATGAGTTATTGTATAGACCTACTCCGGAAATATATAAGTCCATTGCACATAAATTTTTTATATTGCAAACCATTTTTCTTTATAAAAAAAATGATATTGTATATGGTGGGTTTTTTTTTTGTTTTTTTGTAGAAATTCTGTTAAATAAACATTTTATCCCAATTATGAATTTATTTTTAGTTACATTATTTAACGTTTACTTACAAGAACTAATCATTTTTTGTGCAGCTTTCAATTGGGCAGAGTTTAATCACATCAGATGTTATGTTATTGGTAATTACACTCTTAGCAATGTACACATATTTTCAGCCTAGAGCTTCTTTCAACAACAACAACAACAATGCTCCATACATGACCAGCCTAGAGCTTATCTCTTAAGAAAGCAAGCTCGAGATGATGATGATGTAGCAACTCCTTGTGTCACATGAAGAGCAATCTTAAGAACTCAATACAAAGGTAAACTAATATCTATGATGAATTTGAATGGGAAATTTGAAAGCTTTTCATCAACCCATGTCAAGAATCTAGAGATGCTAGTCGCTCAAACCGCATAAGAGTACACTTCGATGAAGCCAAACCCGCTGATTCACAGTACACTTCTGATGAAGCTACAACTAAAACGAGCTCGTAGAATTATTAACCTCTCTACAGGAAACCGTTGAAACGCTTCTGTAATCAAGGCAAGTTGTGTAATCTATACAAAACACTCTCCAAAATGCCATCTTCGAGGTTATGGCCTAGGCAATAGGTTCTTTGGGATCTTATTATGAATAACCCAAACACTAGTAGCTTGTTATATATCATGAATAAGATACCTATGCAATGAATCAATCATACAAACCATTGTGTATGATATAGAAAAATTAATAGTAGCTTGTTCTAAGAGAGACTATTAAAACAATTATACTTATAGAACAGCTTAAAAGAATCAATCAGCCTGAGCTTCTCGTGCTCGTTGTACTTCCAAGTCATCAAGGTAAATTTGGTAGATATAAAGAGCGAATCCCGTGAAGGCGAAAAGCATGGAGACACTCTTAAGCTCGGTCAGCCTGTCGTGGAACACCGCAATGGCTGCAAGAGGCGTAACAATGAGAGAAAGCGTACCAATAAGGTTCGAAAACAGCGAAGAAACCAAAAATATCAGTGCAACAGCTCCAACAGAACCCAATTGCCACGAAACCGCGGTTCCAACCAATGTCAAGATGTATACAACTCGACCCTCGTTAAACATTTCCATCTCCCGACTCAACAACATCCATTCCCCGCTCGCAAACAACCCGATAACTGCAACACAAGAAGCGACGAGGGACGTGTATATCTGCATCTCAAGAACCATAGAGAAAGTCTCACTCTTGATAACTTTCTCAAATGACAACTGCATAAGAGAGAGCTGAAGAGAATAGATAAGAGAAGCCAAAACAGTACATAAACACCCAACAAAATAACTCCACTTAGAATCTCGAGAAGGGCTATTAGAATCATCGTCAAGAGAAACCAAAACAGCAGAAACAGAGAGAAACAACACAGACAAGAAAATCAAAACAGTGATTTTCTGAGAGTTTATGTAATAAGAGAAGACACTATTGAAAGCTAACTGTGAAGCACAAAGAATAGAGTAAGTTGAAGCAGAGAGATACAAAAGACCAAAAGAGTATAAAAGATTGTCTAAACCAATAGCTAAACCAAGAGAAAGATAAATCCAAAACAGAGTAGTGAAAGAACAAGAAGATGAAGAAGAAGAAGAGTGTTGTGAAGGAGGAAGGAGACAAAGAGGGATATAAAGAATTGGAAAGCCACAGGTTTGGACAAGAGTAGAGATCCATTTACTGTTTCCACCTTCGTTGTAATAAAACCGACCAAGAAGAACAGCTATGGCTTGAGCAGAGATGAGGAAGAAGATACTTATGAAGACAAGAACCCACCAATGAGTTCGTTTTAGCTTTAAGAGTTGTGTCGGAACACTTGTTCTTCTGGTTACTTCATCTTCTTCTTTTAGAAGCAACAACGCTACTACTTCTTGTTGATCTGTTACAGACAAAACAACACATAAAGTTCATAGCTTTTCAAGAAATTGATGAAGAAAAAACCTAATTTCTCAACTGATCAAGAATCTGGGAACTGGGTTTTGATCATTTCTCAGTTTTCACTTAATTTTGGGATTTGAAAAGAAGAAACAGAGAAATCTACCCATGAGTGATGGATGAATCGATTCTGCTTCAGGATTGAAACGGCTGAGAGGATTTTTCTCTTTGTTTTTTTTTTAATTGAAAAAAAAAAACAGAGAAATCTGAAATCCTATAAAAACGACAGGCTATGAAAAATTGAAAATGCAATTATATATGTCGCCAAAACATTTTATATTATTATTAAAAAAACCTAAAAATTATATAAAATTTTAAGAGTTACAAAAAAAAGTGTAATTATGTAACCAGCAAAACTATTATTGAACTGTGCATAACTAATTAGAGATTTTTAGAATGTTTAGAATGAAAAAAAAATTGTTATAAAAATCAACAATATTTCAAATTTCGAACGTTTAACATCATCTGACGAATAACATAGACAACATAAGCTAGCTATTTAATTTTATGAATATAATGAATATTTTTGCATCTAATGTTTTGAAAGTTAATGTTTTAAGCATCCACTCAAAAGTTAGGGGGTGTTATTAGATTCTAACTTATAATTGTTTGAGAATTTAAAGGAGTGTTTGAGAATTTTATGTAATTTTGTTGATTAGTTTTTCCATAATCTTGTAAAGTCTCTCAAACAATCTTTATATTTATAAAATACTTTTCATGACTTTATTTTGTAAAGAATGGAGTTTAAAATCATAAACCAATAACATAAAATTTTAATTCATTAACAGTGAGAGATTCTTTTATTTTAATTGAATAACACAGAACTTTTAATGACTTTGTAAAACTATGAGTTCAATAACCCCATATTTATTAAGATTTTGAATGATTTTTTACAAATCAATAACTAATAACACCAAACTTTAAAAGAGTTTAGTAAAATCTTGATCGAATAACAACATATTTTACCTTACATCTAAAGTCAATAAAACACCATATAACTCACAAACCAATAACACCCCCTTACGTTCGTAAGCCATTTTTCTTACTTTAAAAGTAGGTAACTACAACACGGAGAAAAGTATATGATTTTTATTTTTTAATCTAAATTATGTTACGATTGATTAATGGTGTTGCATGTGATTTTTGAAAGAGGGTATGTGTTTAAAATCATAAGGGTTTGAGGAAATTTAACAAATATAATATAATTTTTAGATTTTATACGTGTATACTAAAAAAAAATAGAATTTATATGTGTATCCCCCCATCCCCCTGAATTTTCATGTATATAAGGCAAACCACCTGAGTTAACCTTATACCTTTTTTTAGCAACAAATTTTAAATATTAGCTCAAACGCGCCAATTGGACAGGACATTGTTTACATAATTAACTTAATGCGGTTTCGGCGCAAACAACTTGTGCCATAAGATCTTTTTTACATTTGCACGTCGAGAAATCAAAAATGAAAAAACAGTATAAGAATTATTTCCTGTCAATCTTTCTTTCTTCCAAATAGATCGAGAATGCTGGCCACTATGAAGGGAAAGACATCTATTATTGTATATCCATTTATATCAAAAATCCTTTTATCTATTTAAAAGTTTTCTCAAATTTTTAAAAACAAATATATTTTAAACCTTCAAAATGACATCGCATTACATTTTAAAACCTCCAAATATTTTTTATGTACATTCTTAACCACCACCAAAATAGTTTTACTAACAATCAAAACCTTTGTACTAATTTTCACGTTTTTTTAGTGTTTTCCCAAATCGAAGTCATTGGGCCAATTTCAACTTTATTCTTGTAACAACCCATCCCGGTGGGAACCCCTACTACATGGCACACCCCGCCACATGGCAGCTACAAGCGCTGCAGCGCATCGACCCTAACCTCTCTCCTGTGGGCCCAAACTGCACAACCCACTTGCTCGCAGCCCTCTGGCCCACCAACTGACCTGCAGATCAATTGATGACAACTTCCACGGTGGGAAGGTTGTTAAAGGGTGAGGACCTGGGTTCGAGGAACGCCAGGCGCACCAATAACCTACCTGGTGGGCCAAAGGGCTGCGAGCAAGTGGGATGCACAGTTTAGGCCCACAGGAGAGAGGTTAGGGTCGATGCGCTGTAGCGCTTGTAGCTGCCATGTGGTAGGGGTTCCCACCAAGATGGGTTGTTACAAGAATAAAGTCGACTTTTAAGTAACAACCCGCCCTGTGGGATCATCCGCCATGTGGCACACCCCGCCACATGGCATCCTTACAGCGCTGCAGTGCATCGACCCTAACATCTCTCCTATGGGCCCAAACTGCACAGCCCACTTGCTCGCAGTCTCCTGGCCCACCAGGTAGGTTATTGGTGCGCCTAGCGTTCCTCGAACCCAGGTCCTCACCCTTTAACAACCTCACCACTTGACAAGCTGTTACCAACTGACTTTTAATTGTAACAACCCATCCCGGTGGGAACCCCTACCACATGGCACACCCCGCCACATGGCAGATACAAGCGCTCCAGCGCATCGACCCTAACCTCTCTCCTATGGGCCCAAACTGCACAGCCCACTTGCTCGAAGCCCCCTAACCAGGTAGGTTATTGGTGTGCCGGACGTTCCTCGAACCCATGTCCTCACCCTTTAACAACCTTCCCACCGTGGAAGTTGTCACCAGTTGATCTTGTCAAGGATTGGTAAACATTGAAACTATTGGTAAACAGTGCATAACTAATTAGAGTTTTTTAGAATGAGAAAAATAGTTTTGAAAATCCACAATATTTGAGGAGATTGTTGTGGATGCTAAGCAAGATATTGAGAAGCTTGTGGAGATTAGTGTGAAGGGTGAGTAGGTTGATGTGAAAGGTGAGTAGATTGTTGTAAAGGGTGAGAAAGTTGATGTGAATGGTGAGCAAGAGATTGAGAAGTTTGTGAAGGTTGTCGTGAAGGGTGGGGAAATTGCTGTGAAGAAATCATGAATACACATTTAATCGATAAAAATATTGCGATGAGCAAATTTTCAATTGAACAGAGAGCGAATTTCCAGCCAGATCCTTGAATGGCACTAAAACCAGTAAACCAACAATTAAAATGTAACTTTGTCTAGCTAAACCAATGATTGGAAAATCGGACCATACATAACTAACATAATAAAAAGAACAATCGATTACTAGAACCCTAAACTAAGGTGACTTCTTCTAGTTTTTGCCTCAAGTGACCTTCTCATTCTTCTTATCATCGATCTTTTTCTTCTTCTCCTCTTCACTAGCTATCTTTTTCTTCTCCTCATATGCATCAATGATTAGATCATAGATATTTCTTATAATTGATGGTTTATCACTCTCTTCGATGGTGAAGGATAGTCCCTTATCCTTCACACTCACCACCAATTTGACGTATCTTCTACTTGACTGATGAAAGATATAATACTACAAGAAAATGATCAATTTCTTATGGCCAGTTGAAAAATTGGTTTCCTACCATTTTCATACCAAATTTCCTACCAAATTTCTACTAAATCACGTTATACAAAACGTCGTAGGTTAATTCGTAGGAATAGAGAATGACATTTTTGACCATTTGCCGACAAAAAAATCGTAGGAAACGTGTTCCTTCTAATTTCCTACTAAATATTTCTTGATCTCTTTCCTCAAAATAATCTTATCAATTTCCTACCAAACAAATAAAATAATAATTTATTTATTTATTCAATAATTATATTATTATGGAAATTATATTAAAGTTTTATAATTACAAAATTAGTAATTTTCCTACCAAAATTCTACTTCTTTTTTTCTCTAAGAAATTTCGTACGAATTTCTTACAACTAAGTTTTGTAGAAAATTTCCTACCAATTTCCTTAGACAATTATTTTTTTGTAGAATAATCGTAATTATTTTGTAGCAAATGTTTCTTACCAAAATTTTTGTAGGAAATTTAGTAAGATATATCGATATATATATATATTTCTTCATCTTCTGATCTTTCGACTTTTTCTTATAACTTAAGAGTTACTTATAAAATAGTATTGTCTACGCCAGTATTGTCTACGTCATGGAAAACCATTCCATTCCATTCCTTTATGTGGCTCCTCCTTTCATCCTCCTGGGATCTTTAGCAAAAACATTTTTTATTATAGCTTTTGATTTCCCCCTCAGCTCCTCTTCATCCTTCAAAGCTTTCTTAGCATTCTTCTCCTTCTTAGAGCAGCCACAACAACCTTCTCAATATCTTCTTCAGCCAAATCCTTGAATAGCACTAAACCAGTAACCCAATAATTAAAATGTAACTTTGTCTAGCTAAACCAAAGATTTGAAAATTAGACCATACATAACTAACATAATAAAAAGCACAATCGATTACTAGAAACCTAAACTAAGGTGACTTCTTCTAGTTTTTGCCTCCAGTGACCTTCTCATTCTTCTCATCATCGATCTTTTTCTTCTTCTCCTCTTCATTAGCTATCTTTTTTTTTTCTCCTCATATGCCTCAGTGATTAGATCATAGATATTTCTTATAATTGATGTTTTATCACTCTCTTAAATGGTGAAGAATAGTCCCTTATCCTTCACACTCACCACCAATTTGACGTATCTTCCATTTGACTGTTGAAACATATAATACTACAAGAAAATGATTAATTTCCTACGGCCAGTTGCGTCAAAAATTGGTAGAAAAGAGTATTTGCCTAACATTTTCCTACAAAAATATTGGTAGGATATCGTCCGTAGGAAATCATAAATGGTAAGATTTGGTAGGAAATTTCCTAACAAATTTTTACTAAATCATGTTATACAAAACGTCGTAAGTTAAATCGTAGGAACAGAGAAGGGCATTTTTGACCATTTGCCTACAAATAAATCGTAGGAAACTTGTTCCTTCTAAATATTTCTTGCTCTTTTCCTTCAAAATAATCTTATCAATTTCCTACCAAACAAATAAAATAATAATTTATTTATTTATTCAATACTTATATTATTATGATAATAATATTAAGGTTTTATAATTACAAATTTAGTAATTTCCTACCAAATTTCTACTGCTTTTTTCTCTAAGAAATTTCGTACGAGTTTCTTACAACTAAGTTTCGTAGAAAATTTCCTACCAATTTCCTTAGACAATTATTTTTGTAAACTAATCGTAATTATTTTGTAGGAAATTTTTCTTACCAAACTTTTTGTAGGAAATTTAGTAGGATATATATCTTTCTTCATCTTCTGATCTTTCGACTTTTTCTTATAACTTAAGAGTTACTTATACAATAGTACTGTCTACGCCATGGAACACTAATCCATTCCATTCCTTTATGTGGCTCCTCCTTTCATCCTCTCCTGGGATCTTTAGCAAAAACATTTTTTATTATAGCTTTTGATTTCCCCCTCAGCTCCTCTTCATCCTTCAAAGCTTTCTTAGCATTCTTCTTCTTCTTTAGAGTAGCCACAACAACCTCCTCAACCTCTTCTTCAGCCAAATCCTTGAATAGCACTAAACCAGTAACCCAATAATTAAAATGTAACTTTGTCTACCTAAACCAATGATTTGAAAATTAGACCCTACATAACTAACATAATAAAAGCACAATCGATTACTATAACCCTAAACTAAGGTGACTTCTTCTAGTTTTTGCCTCCAGTGACCTTCTCATTCTTCTCATCATCGATCTTTTTCTTCTTCTCCTCTTCATTAGCTATCTTTTTTTTTTCTCCTCATATCCCTCAATGATTAGATCATAGATATGTCTTATAATTGATGGTTTATCACTCTCTTAAATGGTGAAGGATAGTCTCTTATTCTTCACACTCACCACCAATTTGACGTATCTTCCACTTGGCTGTTGAAACATATAATACTACAAAAAAATGATTAATTTCCTATGGTCAGTTGCGTCAAAAATTGGTAGGAAAGAGTATTTTTCTAACATTTTCCTACAAAAATATTGGTAGGATATCGCCCGTAGGAAATCATAAATGGTAAGATTTGGTAGGAAATTTCCTACCAAATTTCTACCAAATCACGTTATACAAAACGTCGTAAGTTAAATCGTAGGAACAGAGAATGTCATTTTTGACCATTTGCCTACAAATAAATCGTAGGAAACTTGTTCCTTCTAATTTCCTACTAAATATTTCCTGCTCTTTTTCTTCAAAATAATCTTATCAATTTCCTACTAAAAAAATAAAATAATAATTTATTTATTTATTCAATAATTATATTATTATGAAAATTATATTAAAGTTTTATAATTACAAATTTAATAATTTTCCTACCAAATTTCTACTGCTTTTTTCTCTAAGAAATTTCGTACGAGTTTTTTGCAACTAAGTTTCGTAGAAAATTTCCTACTAATTTCCTTAGACAATTATTTTTTGTAGAATAATCGTAATTATTTTGTAGGAAATTTTTCTTACCAAAAGTTTTGTAGGAAATTTAGTAGGATATATCGATATATATATATATCTTTCTTCATTTTCTGATCTTTCGACTTTTTTTCTTATAACTTAAGAGTTACTTATACAATAGTACTGTCTACGCCATGGAACACCAATCCATTCCATTCCTTTATGTGGCTCCTCCCTTCATCCTCTCCTAAGATATTTAGCAAAAACATTTTTTATTATAGCATTTGATTTCTCCCTCAGCTCCTCTTCATTCTTCAAAGCTTTCTTAGCATTTTTCTCCCTCTTTAGAGCAGCCACATCAACCTCCTTAATCTCCTCTTCAGCATGCACATGCTTCTCAAGGTGCTTAGCAGCCACATGCTTCTCAAGGTGCTCAAAACCCATAGACTTCTCATGCTCATCAAGCACAGGGTTCTCATGCTCAACAGCAAGAATGTGTGACTTCTTGGAACTATCTCTTTATAGACTTTCCTTTATTTTGCTGATTTTGTCATCAAAGCTCCAAAGGCCATATTCTTTAAGTTTTACGATTTATTTTCTTGTTTTAGACTTTAGGACCGTTGTATATTGAGCCTATAAAAGCTCAGCTCATTTCTCATTGGAAAGTTCCCTTGATCGAATTTAAATTTAATAGAAAATATTTTCTTCTTCACAAAGTTATTAAGTTCTTTTAATTTCTATGTGTGTTTATTTTTTAGTGCTTATTGAGCGATTCATTGAGTAGTATTCAAGTTGTAGAATAAGTTAGTTGAGTGATTCAAAAACACTTATTTTGTTCATCGATTGAGTGAGTTAATCTTTTTCCGCCCCCATTTCTAACCTCGTTTCCACATCCCACGAGAAAATTTTGGAAACTCTTGCTCATCAAGTGAATACATGATATTTCGACCTTGTATCAGATCGACACCTGCCCAAAACTCGGGCACTTGTGTTAAAATTTTAAAACCTCCAATTTGTTTTTAAGACACTCTAATCCACCACCAAACTAAACTGACAATGTAAACCTTTAAACTAGTTTTGATGTATATATTGTTTGGTACGAGATAACGAAACAATAATCGTCAACAGAACGGGTAACCTCCGTCCCTGTCCTACTAAAACATGTTGTTTTGTTAAAAATTGCTTCTTTCATTTAAGGTGTTTGCCCAAATTGTAGTTGCTGGGCCAATTTGTCCTAGGCACCATCTTTATTGCTCTTGTGAAGTTGAGAAATGAGAGATGAAAGTATTTTCATTCTTTGTAAAGTTGCTAGAAAATATAGTAATTTGACTATGAATTTATTAATTTATAGGTTTATAAACACCTAAGAAAATAATGGCAATTTACATAGTTTTTGCCATCTCATAAGTAAATAAAATTACATAGAAAATCAAAAATCCAAAAGCTCGGAGAAAACCATGCCAATGTTACACATTCTTTCATACCACAAATTGCGTGTCGCAATATTTCCTGGCATTGTCAGTCCTTCAAGAAGAGATTCACACGTATCTATACTATCAAAGGCTTTAAAAGCTGCCTTATATGATAACACGTACATATTAGTACTTGCAAAACCTTTAGCTTCATGCAGTGCTTTATTTGACAATTGATAACCTCTCATGCATGACTCGTATGGGTTCTTGAATGTCGGATCAGTTGTTGCTCTATCTACGCTTTTAATCAGCTCTAGGTTCTTATAGCCAAAAATTTCCGCCTTCTCGAAGACCATAACGAGAAGACCGTTGAGGTCGAGGGTGAACGTTTTAGGGTCAGAGCTTAGCCAAGGGATACAGAAGTGTTTGGCAATTGGTCGTTGCGAGAAAATTTGGTTAAGTAATGCTTTTGTGACTTTATCACTTGGTGAAAAAGATGATGAAAAAACTGGGGTGATTGAAAGCATAATGAGAAGAGGAAGAATTGAAAATGCATTATTTTTGATATGAGAAACAGCCATTTTTTTGTGAGTGTGAAAGAATACTTATGTTTTAATTTTTTGTTAAATGTATAAGGGATTATATAAGATATTTTTTCTCTATTAATTAGGATATCCATATTATTATGAAAAATATCACCTTAATTAAGTAAAAAAATCTTTCATATAGGGAACTTTTATAAAATAGTCAAATCAACTATTATAGAAAAAATAAAAATAGCATAATTTTACTTAAATTTTTTGATGATCTATTTTATATAAAAAATATCTCTAAAACTTAGGTCATAATACATAAATACTACTTCAAACCACATAAACTAAATATAATACTATCCATTTAGGGGTAAGATAGTTGTTATTCCTATTTGGTAGGGTTAATGTCATCTCAGTATTAGACCAGTTAAACCTTATATGTAAGCAAACGTGTCGTTCTCCACCAAACAATTGTCTAGACGGTGTAATCCATGAGTTCATCTATGACATATATGTAACATCAAATTTGTACCCCAAATCAATCTCCCTAACTAGGCCTCTCACCAATTCATAGGTTTAAGGTTTAATCATTAATTAGATTCTAAAACTATCTTACGCAACTGGCTCTTCAGATGTGACCTTCTAGGATTTTTATTACAGAACATGAAAGTGTTAAACTCACAAATTACAAAAAATTATTAAGGATCAAAAAGAAAGCTCTCTTATGAAAAATCCTACGCAAGTATAGAAAATAATCAAAGATTTTCTTTTCTTTTTTTGTTTTTGATAAAAAATAATCAAAGATTTTCTTTTCTTCCCCTTGGTTATCAAAATTTGGTCAATTGTTATTTCTTTCTTTATCAAAAAGCCCATACCATAAGTCCATAATAAAATACGACACATAAAAAAAAAAAAATAATACAATTTAAGACCTAACTAAACCCCTAAAACTGAAACAATCTCTTACGCAGCTGCAGGGTCAAAAACCTTAGGTCACAATTTGAGCTTTTCTCGTTAATTATCATTCTCCATGGCCAAGAAAAATTCCACCAAAGTAATTAATCTATGAATTATGGATTTCTTCTTTTAATATTCTTCTTCTTACTCAGTCTTGAATCTCGAGTTTATTCACAAAGTTAACTGAAGAACTTGTTTTGGTTTTTTGTATTTTCTTAGGTTGAAATAGATCCTCCTGTGATTAAGGCCATGAAGCCATTGAAGAAACGTAAGAAAATTACGTTTCATTTGTTTTGTGTTGCTCTCCCTTTGCTACATTATTTACTTGTCGTGGTTACACATATGATATGTGTGTTCTTGTGTTATTCGTATGTATGGTTATAGTAAGCACATCTAGCTATACTATGTCAAGTATATTGATTCTCGATATTTTAAATTGTTTTTGCTGGTCTTCTTTTAGGTAAGAGTGAGCCAGAGGCTGATTTGGAGACCGAAGTAAAACTGAAGAAGCAAAACAAAAATCAAAAGAAAAATCAAAAGAAAAAATCTAAGAAGAAGGTTGGAATACTGTTATTGTTCTTGAGAGAGTTTTGAATCAAATTTAGTGTGTTAATGGCTAATCATGTAACATATATATGTAAAATAGGAACCTTCAAAAGAACCTGCTAAAGATTCTCAAGATCAGAAGGTTTGTTTTTAGTTTATTTTTAGTCACTAAGTTTCCTAGTAACTGTTCAATTTATATAAATATCAAATAGTTCTCTCATTATTTGTTTATGAAAATGTAATCCTTCAGAAGGCAGCTCTAGCTACTAGCAAGTCTGCAAGCAGTTCAGATTCAGTAAATAAAGATTCTGATGAAGTGGCTGGTGCGAGAGGCAATGTAGCTGCATTCACTCCTCCACAAAGCAGGTGAACTGATTTTTTCGATGTTTGCGAGATTTGTTTACATACTCAAGATGTTCTTTTGTTATCCACAATTATAGTTGATAATGTAATTTCTTGATAGTATTCAAACGATTTACGTCGAAGGATTTGGCTCTTCGCTTCCTGAGGATGAAATCAAGACCGCATTAAGTAAACACTTCAGTGCATGTGGAGAGATCACAAGGGTTTTTGTTGCAACAAGCTTTGTCACCGGTGCTGTAAGAGGGTTTGTGACTTCCTCCTCAAGTTTGTGACAACTTATATTATAAGTTAGGTTATAACTATATATTAAGCTATGTTCTATTTTTCTTTGATAGATTTGCTTACATTGATCTAAAAGAAGAAGACTCAAAGAAGGCGTTGGAACTTAATGGTAGTGTTATGTTAGGAAAGGAACTTGTAGTGAAGAAGGCTCTACTGATGAGAGATTCTTACCCTGGCTTTTCTGGTCGTGATCGAGTTCTTGGTGGTCGTTTCGGCGGACGTTTTGGCGGACTTGATGTTGGTGGCCGATTTCGCGGTGGCCGTTGTGGAGGTCTTGGCTTGTGTCAACGTGTCTGTTGAGTATTTAATTCTCAGAGTTAAGTTCTTTTGGATAGTATAGGCAAGATCACTCCCACCTTCATCAAGACCAACGACAGCTAGTGTTGTTAATTTTGTTTGTCGACCAGACAAGTAATTTTCTAAAATATTGTTTCGTGCAACAAATAAAAGAAATTTTTTGATAAGTTGTCCTAATTGAACTTTGATTGAAAGTAAAGGCGAATGATGCTTACTCGACTAGGTACTCGCCTAAGACCATGAGCCGAAACGAGTCCAACACATGAAAACATAGAGCCATTTAAATGTTACTAACTTTAATATATCCTACAATGATGGATTAATGGACAATCACCAACTTGTTGTATAATGCTCTTTAGAGTTTTAGGTGAGATGGTTGATGAAGAGAGGTAACAATGGATTGATAGATCGATATAATGCCACACAATTGATGGATTGAAGCCGTGATAAGTCTGGATGCTCAAGAATACAAAGAATTACACAAGGTTCTAGGGCGTTTATGAGTTCTCATTATAAGACCTTGAATAGTTGTCGATTTTAAAGTTGATTTGTTTTAAACTTTTTTAGAAATATACTTTATAGCGAGAATCAAGATTATGAGAAGAATGGTTTTTCTAAAAATTATAGAATCTGGATTTTAATTATTTTTGTCAATTTTCAAAGAAAATCTAAAATCTATGTTTTATTAAAAAAAAATTAATATGAAAAATCTAAATGCCATAAACCAAATTTAAAATTCAGAATATTCATAAACTGTAATCCAAAAAACCAGTAATTCATGGCCTAAGTTTTTTCATTACATAAGCTTCAGGGGAACCTTATCAATATGTTGTTCAGTCTTTATTACAGAAAACTAAAGTGCCAAACTCACAAATTAGAAGTGAATATTAAGGACTAAAACGAAAGAGCTTAAACTAATGGAAAAATACTGCAAAAAATTAAGGGTTGATTAATGCTTCTACACTAGGAGGTCTAGGGTTTGAACCCCATATAATACGATGTATTAATACTGTTGTAGATTAATGGAGGCAAGTACACATAAGATCTCCACTAATGCGCAGTTAGAGCCGTTCGCCGTGATTCTAGAGTTCCTTTTCCTCACCATTCTTATTCCTGGTCCTGATCATTCGAAGAAAGCACTTGATGTTTTTTTGCAGCCATTGATTTATGAGTTACAAATGTTATGGAAACATGGTGTGGAAGCGTTCGATGTTTCAGTGAACCAAAATTTCAACATTTGGGCGATGCTTATGTGGACTATAAGTGATTTTCCAGCCTATGGTATGTTATCTGGATGGACCACGCATGGACGGTTATCTTGTCCATATTGTCAAGATAACAGCGATGCGTTTCAGTTGAAACACGGACGTAAAATGTGTTGGTTTGATTGTCACAGACGATGGCTCCCTGAAGATCATCCTTATCGTAGGAGCACCACATTATTTAGAAAGAACATGCAAGTCTTTTGATAGTCCACCTCCTGAGTATTCTGGTAAGGACATTTTGACTCAGTTAAGAGATTTTGGTGCCGAGCAGACATCGATTTGCGATGGATATGGTGATCATCCCAATTTGCACAAGTTTAGTATCTTCTATTTATTGCCATATTGGAAGGACCTTTTGCTGAAGCACAATCTTGGCTTCATGCACACGGAGAAGAACCTTACTAAATGTTCAAGGAAAGACAAAAGACAATTTAAAGTCTAGATTGGACTTGCCTGATATATGTTCTTGAAGAAAACTTCATGTCTTGCCAAATGGAAAAGCACCAACCGCTCGTTTCCGATTAGATGCACCTTTCAAGGAAGCATTTTTAGAGTGGATTATGATGCATTTCAAAGGGATACATAGCCTAGAGCAAAATATACAGGTAATCCTTTGCAACCTTGAGAAGATTTATCCACTGTATTTCTTCGATTTTATGGAACATATTCCAATTCATCTCCCACGAGATTTAGCACTTGGCGGTCCCGTTCAATATCGATGGATGTATCCTTTCAAGCGTTACATGGGCACTCTTAAGAAGAAAGTAAAAAATTTGGCAAGAGTCAAAGGTTCTATTGTAGCACAAAGCATCAACGAAGAAACCTCACACTTCTCTGAATATTGTTTTCCGAAACACGTCTAAACAAAGATGCGAAAGCCTGCTCGACATGATGACGGTGGGGAGACACCTTTCTACCCCGTACAAGTCCCAAGCACATTCTCTCAAATTGGTCGATTAAGTGGAAAATCGAAGAAACGAACTCTAACACAAGAAGAGCAACAACACTTGGACATGTACATTATCACAAATCATGATGAGCTAATAGATTATGAGAGGTAAACTATTTTTATTTTATATAGTAATTAATTTTAACTTATATTTGAAATATATAATTTATTTATCCTCATTTTAATTAATTAATAGGATTTACTTGGGCCAAGTACGCTTTCAATATCCGGACATGAGCGAGGATGATGTTCAAAAACTCAAGCAGACTGAGTTTTGTAATTGGCTAAAATTCTACGTAAGTTTTTCCTTATTTTAAAATTTAATTTATTAAATAAATTGATTAAATTGATTTGTAAAAGTTTTTACATATTTAAAATTGAAATTTTGCTTTGTACAAGTAACAACAATGTCAGGTAGAGGTCGATCATTTCCCACATGGTTAGTGGAGTTCGTTAATGGGCCGTTATATGTTGCGGAATCGTATCCCATGTATTGTACTCATGGGTACGCTTTTAAGATTCTTAGACCCAAGAAGATTAGGCCAACTTGTGACTACGGTGTATCGGCACAATCGGGTGATCTTTTTTACTATGGTGTCCTCCGTGAAATCTTAGAAGTTCGTTATTCGGGGATGATCAATTTGAGGTGTATTGTTTTCTCATGTGATTGGTACGATCCAATTCTTGGAAGGGGTGTGAAACATGACGAATTTGGTGTCACTACAATACATATGAGAAAACGACTCCAGAATATGACCCATTCATCCTCGCATCTCAAGCCGATGAAGTATGATACATTGGATACCCACGAGCTACCACAATCAATGATCCTTGGATCACTGTGATGTCAGTATATCATATAGGCAGGATTGTTGGCATTTCTGATGATAGTGAACATGAATCTATGATGCAAAAACACGTTGGGTGTCATAGGAGCGGTTGACCACTCCCTAGAAGTTGATCTTGTCATTGATTTCACCATTGATGGAGATGATGAGGTTTTTGATGATTCTGAAGAAGAAAGGGGAGAATATGAGGACACTTCCGATTCAGAAAATTCAGAATATTCATCGGATGAAGAGGACGAAGAATAAATTATATAACTTTTGTATTTTATTAGATTTTTATTAATTAGTTGGTGTATTAAGAACGTGGAAATAAATTATCTCTCATGAAGTTTTCAAAACCTATTATCCTAAATAAATATTGCAACTATTTTATAATTTTTGTATATTTTTTTGAAAGTTGTATAAATTTAAAAATTGGATTAGACACAATATCGATCTTTCTAACGGATTTCCTAAGGGTATAACAAGTCCTCGGAAATTCGTCAGTTTTTCAAAGGGCTGCCCGAGGGTTCACGAATATGGTCAGATATTTAATAAAACTGAAATATCCGAAGATTTTCTGAGGGATGTTAGATTTTTTATAAAATTTTGGAATTTAGATGCATCTTATGTAATGGTTAATACAATAAGAAGCTATACCTGTCAATATAATTACATAACAAAGTTTTATAAGGAAAAAAAATTCAAAACTTGAAAAATCTCATATTTGGACAATTAAGCTTAAGCTTAAGCTTAATTTCTCTTGGTTTTTACAGAAGCTTAAGCTTGATTGTCCAAATCTTCAAGATGGGCAGGGATACTGTTAACGTCGAGGTTGAAATCGACAAAATTTGATGTGGTTCAGGTGGGTTATTTGAATTGAAAGCTGGTTTGGGTTGTAAAATCAGAGTACGCGAGTTTGGGTATGAAAATACCTTCGGGAAATAGTTTGGGTTGATTTTCCCCGTTTTCCCTATTGATAATATAGTTGATACATCCAGAAATTATGCAATTTTTAATCTAATTTAATATAAATGTTATTTTTTAACACAAATATGTCTTTGTATAGCATTAAAATCTCTTTAGATGAATCAAATTAATAAAATTGGTTTATAAAAAAAAAGTCGTCGGAAAGTCCTCAGAAATTTTACACTCCCTGAGAAATCCGTTGGAAATTTCTGATTTTTGGGGTTTAATTGGCTTGATCAGCCAATTAAATTACATGCAGTGATATTCGAAAGGATTTTCGAGGGATTCTGATTTGCCGACGGATTTCAGTGTGAAAATATTTATTACCCGCCTTTTTTTTAATTCTCGCGGAAAACCTCAAAAGTTTCCAAGGGATTTGCAACGACTAATTCCCTCTGAAACGATTTTTCCTCAGCCGCTTCTTTTATCTCAGAACTCTTCGTCGCTGTTGGACCGCTCTGTCCCCCGAGACACTGCTTCGCCATCTCGCCGGCGATAACATCTTCAATCATCATCATCAATCATCATTTTCTTCCTCCCATCGTTTCACAAGCTCAAAATCATGTAAGTTTACAAGTATTCAATGCTTTTGATTTGTGATACTAGTTTTTAATTGTTAATATCTTGTTAGAATTAGATTTTGGAATCCGTATAATTAGATCTTGACTGGATTTGGATAGATATGGAATTGGATTAAGGTTATGATATGAAATTAGTTTTATGATTTTGATTAGAATTAGTCCTATGATTTTGATTGGAATTATTTCTATGATTTTGATTGGAATAGTTTTTGCTTTTGATTGGAATTAGTGAATTATATAAGTTAGATTTAGTTTTATTTATATTTTGTAAGAAATTTGATATTAAATTTAAACATTTTTATTGGATTTTGGTTTTAAACTTGTTAGCATTAGGTTGGTTTTTAACAATTATAGAAAATTAAAAGTTAGATTTTAGTTAAACAATTTTTTTAATAAATGTGATACAATAATTATTTTCTTTAATCGTACATTGTTAAATATTTATTACAACATAATATATTTATAAATTTATCAACTTTTCCTATTGTTATTTGTTGATTAATTATTTACTAAATTTATTTTTGAGGTCTTATGAGGAGTTTCAAGGGACGTCACCTAACCATTTCCAAACCCGACGATCATAAAGCGACTCACCATCACAATCTCCTTCTAATGTCCCCGAGACAAGAAATTCCGCTCCGCCACCGATTATGACGATTGAAGAGTTTGTTAGTCAACCGGGCCGTCAACATATCCCGAGGCTCCACCCGGAAGAAGAAAACGGAGCTACATGGTAATTAATTTCATTTTATCTACTTACATAAATTGATGAATTTTATTCTTAACTAATTATTATTTTACATGTCTCTAGGTTTGGATTAGAGGGAAAGATAACAAAATCCATTCTTAATATTTTTAAGACGCAATTGAATAAACCTTGGCCAACTTACGGGGATGTCGACGAAGAAACCAAAAAGATGTGGTTCAAGACTTTTGCGGTAAGTTAAACTATTAATTATTATTATTATCATTAATTATTATTTTTGTCATAAATTTATTTTAATTATATTTTTTTCCCATTTGTAGCAAGATTTTAATTGGGAAATCGGTCATTCGGCAAAAGTGAGAAGAGCTTTTGACATTCAAGCCAACACATCCTACCAAAATCACATGTATGCATGGAAGCAAAAGTGGAAGGAAGGCAAAAAAATGCCAAAATGTCTAAACCCTGAAGTTTGGCAAGGGTTTATCCGCTATTGGAGTATGGATGAGACAATGTCTATTTCGTCACAAGCATAAGAGAATCGTAGGAGCGAACGTGGTGGAAAGAGTATAGCAACCCACAATGGAGGTTCCATAGCCTTCAAAAAGCATGAGAGAAAAATGGTATGTTTTCAATTAATTATACCTTTATATTTGATATATTTTTTATTTTTCTTTAAATTTAGATGATCGCAAACGGAGTCGTTGCGCCGGATTGGATAGATGTTATGGAAACAACCCACACAAGCAAAAAAACCGGAAAAATTCAAGATCCGGTTGTCGGAGAACGCATAAAAAGGATTAAGCTTCGGAAGATGGAACGGCTAACACAACTCTCTCAAGATGGCTCATCATCTTCAATCGATCTACCTCGTGAAGGAATCAACCGTTTGTGTATTGAGGTATATTGGAATATTTTTTAGTTTTACTTTATTATTTATAAAATTTTTGTTTGTTTAGGATATTCCTTTAACCAAAGGTTGGAGACCATGATTAGAAAGTCTTGTCTGACAAGATGGGAGTATCTCTTCGGCATTTCCCCGAGACAATGAACTTATTCAACAAGTTCAAGATCTTAACCGAATCGTGAAAGAAAAATATGAGGCGGTCGAAGAATTGAAGCAACAAAATCTCAAGATTACGGAGCAATTCACCAAGACTCATACGACACTCTCCCAACTTCAAATTTCATTTCTTCTAAATTCCTGGAACAATTCCTGCCTCCCTAAAACTATTTAGTTTTTTTTGTTTTTCAAAACTATTTTAATTTTGTGACTATTGTTGTTTATTTGGATAAGTTGTATTTGGATATTTTAATTTTAGAATTTTGGATTTTTATTTATTGTTTAAGATTTATATTTTCGTAATTATAATCAAAATTATAAATTTGCTAAAAACTTTGTCGTCGTCGGAATGCCCTTGGAAATTCAGGTCCTCGGTAAGTCCTTGGAAATAAACTTTCGGAAATCCATCAGAATCATGTCTCTTGGAAATCCCTCGGAAATAAAAGTCCCTTGGAAATTCCTCGGAAACAACTCTAGGAAATCCTTTGGTAATAAGTCTCTGGGAAATCCCTCAGAAATTGTATCTCTTGGAAATCTCTCGGTAATTTAACGTCCTTGGAAATCCCATGGAAAGTTAACCTCCTTGGAAATCCCATGGAAAGTTAATGTCCCTTGTAAATCCCTCGGAAATTTCCGACGAGCGATTTCTGAGGACTTGTTTTCCTCGGAAACCCGTCAGAAAGAATTGTTTATGAGGGCTTACCGATGATTCCGTCCCTCAGAAATAGATTGTTTTCTTGTAGTGTGGTAGACCTAAGACCGTGAGACTAAACGAGTCTAACACATGAAAACAAGCATTGTGCGATTTAATAAGTCAATCCATTAGACCCGAAGCGCTTAACAAGGTTGATCGCGACTAAATAAATTAAACCGTCTTAATGCTACTAATAATACTGTTGACAAAAAAAATGCTACTAATGTTATTTAGGAAAGTCATAAATTATTCATTAATTAAATTGTATTAAACAATATCATTAAAAATAATTAAATTATTGTGCATTAATTTACAATATTGATTAATTTCCTTACAATATTGAATACTAATTTATGAATAATTTATCCATATTAAAATATAATAAATATAACAAAAATACACTAAAATATGGGAAACGACCGCATCCATTTTTTTATATGAAAAAAAGAAACACAATTGCGGATTTTGTTGGATATTTTATTTATATCTAGTTGGATTGATTATGTTGATTCTGTTTTTATTTTATTTTTGAGAGATATGCTTGCAAATTTTATAAATAGGTGTTTAATGGATTATTTCCGGACTTAGGCTCATTACAATCACCTCATGGCCCAATGTACAAACAACAAACCAAACAAAACAATAAATCAAACCCGACCCGATTTCATGAACGAAACTAACATAGTTACACAAAACCTTAGTCTCTGATTGAAGAATACAACCAGAGCCGTCGCCTAAGATCTGCGAATCCTTACTGGAACAAGACCCTCCGGCAAATCTGGACGACGAGAGCCGAATGGAGATGGTGAATCTGCTGCCTTCCCGCCACCGTAGAGCTGTTTCGACCCTCTAGATAAAGATGGACGCAAAGGCAGTTCTACCTTTGTACCCCACAACCCTTAGCTATCCTCACCTTAACTTCAAATCCTCAATATTAATTTTAATTAACAATAGACCTTAAACACTAAATTATTTTTTCATCTGAAATTTCATATCTCAATATTTTAAATTATTACAGCAGTAAGCAGCCTCTTTGGTTTGACAAACTTTACCATAGCAGCCTCTTTAATTTGATGAAAATTAAAGCACTCTAGTGGGTCTTAATTAACCACTCATTTTTATTCTCTCTTATCAGTGTTCGAATCTGGACTTTTTGTGTCACAATTAAGAACAATTAGTTTGTAAATGCACATTATTTTAGAAATGAAAAGAAAAGGCAATGCTATGCACAAGTGCACATGGCTCTTTTGTAACGGTATGTGTTAGGTGTTCATCTTTATATATTCTTGAATAACAAAAACCAATTGTATAGTATTTTACGACTTTGGATTAGCCAACTTGATTAGAGACATGTACTTCGTTCTTTGTGTTTTTTTGCTTTTTACCACATGATTACTTTTAACATATCAATTTTAGTATCATTTTAGATGATATTCAAGGTTTTTAACTATAAATTAAGATATTATATTTTTTAATTAACATTTTTTACATAAAAGGCCAATTAGTAAGCTTTAATTTCAATCAATTTTTTAAAAAAATATACCGCAAAATATAAAAGATTAAAACTTAAATGTATATTTATTATTTATAGTGAAACAGAACAAAAAACATCACCTAAAAATAACACTTCTTGACTCGCTTTATGGTTCAAACGTTGTTTCTAGGGTGATCCTCTTGGTGAGTAGTTTCCCATTGAGATCTTCATGCCTAGGCATGTCAATAAGAGGCATGTCAATTAGGGCTAAAGATCGCGAGCTAGTTTGGCCCGGCCCTGAAAAACATCGGGTTCGGACTTAAATATATATGTCCAGAAAAAATCGGGCCTTTTGGACTAAGCTCATTCGGGCTAAAGGGTTGTTTGGGCTTAACCCGGTCGGGCTCGGGCCAGCCCGAAAGGCTTTTAAAAAAATATATTTTAAATTTTTTAAAATATTTTAGTTTGATTAGAAGATTTGATTAATGAATTAGTTTTCTTATTTACTTACTAGCCTTACTTAATACTTTTAAAATTTGTACCTATAATATTTTCTATTATCTGTCAAACTAAAACTGAACAACCGGACTTTGAAATATAGGCTCAAATATTTTTCGGACTGGACCCGGCCATACTCACATATATGAGGGCTTTACGGGTTTCGGTCTGGGCCGGATCGGATTAACCTGATAGACATGCCTAATCATGCCCTATAAGAGTGATTAAGCTTTCTATTGACTTGTTTCTTATTTTTATTTTTATTTGTGGTAAAAAATAACCAAAGTTTTTGGTTATTTCTTTCTTATCAGAAGGCCCAAAGCCGATATTAATAAAATACCAAATATATATATAATACAATTTAAGACCTAACTAAACCCCTAAAACTGAAACATTCTCATACGCAGCTGCAGGGTCGAAAATCTAAGGTCAATTTGAGCTTTTCTCGTTAATTATCATTCTCAATGGGCAAGAAAACTTCCACCAAAGTAATTAATCAATTAATTATGGCTTTGTTCTTTAATATTCTTCTTCTTACTCAGTCTTGAATCTCGAGTTTATTCACAAAGTTAACTGAAGAACTTGTTTTGGTTTTTTGTATTTTCTTAGGTTGAAATAGATCCTCCTGTGATTAAGGCCATGAAGCCATTGAAGAAACGTAAGAAAATTACGTTTCATTTGTTTTGTGTTGCTCTCCCTTTGCTACATTATTTACTTGTCGTGGTTACACATATGATATGTGTGTTCTTGTGTTATTCGTATGTATGGTTATAGTAAGCACATCTAGCTATACTATGTCAAGTATATTGATTCTCGATATTTTAAATTGTTTTTGCTGGTCTTCTTTTAGGTAAGAGTGAGCCAGAGGCTGATTTGGAGACCGAAGTAAAACTGAAGAAGCAAAACAAAAATCAAAAGAAAAATCAAAAGAAAAAATCTAAGAAGAAGGTTGGAATACTGTTATTGTTCTTGAGAGAGTTTTGAATCAAATTTAGTGTGTTAATGGCTAATCATGTAACATATATATGTAAAATAGGAACCTTCAAAAGAACCTGCTAAAGATTCTCAAGATCAGAAGGTTTGTTTTTAGTTTATTTTTAGTCACTAAGTTTCCTAGTAACTGTTCAATTTATATAAATATCAAATAGTTCTCTCATTATTTGTTTATGAAAATGTAATCCTTCAGAAGGCAGCTCTAGCTACTAGCAAGTCTGCAAGCAGTTCAGATTCAGTAAATAAAGATTCTGATGAAGTGGCTGGTGCGAGAGGCAATGTAGCTGCATTCACTCCTCCACAAAGCAGGTGAACTGATTTTTTCGATGTTTGCGAGATTTGTTTACATACTCAAGATGTTCTTTTGTTATCCACAATTATAGTTGATAATGTAATTTCTTGATTAGTGTTCAAACGATCTACGTTGAAGGATTTGGCTCTAGGCTTCCTGAGGATGAAATCAAGACCGCATTAAGTAAACATTTCAGTGCATGTGGAGAGATCACAAGGGTTTTTGTTGCAACAAGCTTTGTGACCGATGCTGTCAAAGGGTTTGTGACTTCCTCCTCAAGTTTGTGATAACTTATATTATAAGTTAGGTTATAACTATATACTAAGCTATGTTCTATTTCTCTTTAATAGATTTGCTTACATTGATCTAAAAGAAGAAGACTCAAAGAAGGCGTTGGAACTTAATGGTAGTGTTATGATAGGAAAGGAACTTGTAGTGAAGAAGGCTCTACTGATGAGAGATTCCTACCCTGGCTTTTCTGGTCGTGATCGAGGTCTTGGCGGTCGTTTCGCCGGACGTTTTCGCAGGCTAAACGGAATTCCTGTCGGCCGACGTCTTGATAGGATTGGCCGACTTGTGTCAACGTGTCTGTTGAGTATTTAATTCTCAGAGTTAAGTTCTTTTGGATAGTATAGGCAAGATCACTCCCACCTTGATAGTTCAGGCAAGATCACTCCCACCTTCTTCGACATAAAGACCAACAACAACTAGTTGTTGATCAATTTTGTTTGTCGACAAGTAGAAGTGATTTTTAATAAGTTGTCGGAATTGAAATTTGATTTATAGTATTCTCGAATGGTGTTTTTATTAACCTTTTCTTGCTTCCTCTCGACTAGGTGTGGTAGACCTAAGACCGTGAGACTAAACGATTTCAACAAGCATGGTGCGATTTAATAAACTTCTAAATAAACGGATTCTTAACAATTCAATCCATTAGACCTAAAGCTCTTAACATTGCTGATCACGACTAAATAAATTAAACCATCTTAATGCTACTAATATTGTTGGCCAAAAATATAAAAATGCTACTAATATTATTGAGGAATTTTATTCGAAAATTATTATTTTCTTAAATTGTATTGAATAATATACCCTTCCAATTTGGGATCCAAATTTTTTTAAAAGATAATTGATTTATTGTGCATTAATATACACAGATTTTAATAAAATCGATATCGAATAGTAATTATAAAATAGTTTATCCATATTAAAATATAATAAATAAAACAAAAAAATACACTAAAATATGTGAAATGACCGCATCCATTTTTAAGGTTAATAAAAAACACGATTGCTGATTTTGTTGGATAATTTTTTATAGCTAATTGGATTGATTATGTTTTATGTTAGTCCTGGACATTCGGTTTAATCGGTTTAAACGGTTCGGTTGAAATAAATTTATGTACTTTTTTTGTACCCCAATCCCTAGCTATCCTCACCTTAACTTCAAGTCCTTAATATTAATTTTCTTCTGAAAATTTTATCTCTCAATATTTTATATTATTACAGCAGTAAGCAGCCTCTTTGGTTTGACAAACTTTACCATAGCAGCCTCTTTACTTTGACGAAAACTAAAGCACTCTCTACCACTCATTTTATTCCCTCTTATCAGTGTTCGAATCTAGACTTTTAAGAACAATGAGTTTGTTCACAAGTGCACATGGCTCTTTTGTAGCGGTATGTCTTAGACTCATTCTTTTGTAGTGTTAGGTGTTCATCTTTATACTTCTTGAATAACAAAAACCAATTGTATAGTATTTTACGACTTTGGATTAGCCAACTTGATTAAAGACGTGTGCTTCGTTCTTTGTGTTTTTTTTGCTTTTAACCACATGATTACTTTTTAATATTTCATTTTTAATATCATTTTAGATGACGTTCATGGGTTTTAAATGTAAATTAAGATATTATATAATTTTTAATTAACATTTTTTACATAAAAAGCCAATTAGTCAGCTTACAATCAATTTTTTTTAAAAACATACGGCAATATATAAAATATTAAAAATTAAATGTATATTTAATATTTATAATTAAACACAAAAAAACTAAAACATTACTTAAAAATAACACGGAAAAAAATATTTATAGTATATATAATTTAAATGCCTATTCACTCTATTTTTCTTTATTCTATAATAATTGTTAAAATGAATCAACTTGCATACTAAAATAGCAGCAATTTCATGTAAATACATAAACATATGGCAAGATCACAATGTCTTATCATTACAAGAAAGTAAGTTTAAATGTAATTAAGGTGTGAAAGTGAAAACAGTAAATGTTATTACTTAGAAGCACATGATAATTAAAGCTTTCTTAGACTTTAAAACCTATTCTCCAAAAGAAAAAAAAAGTTTAGAAGTAACTAAAGTGAAAGTGAAAACAAATTAAAAGATAATATTGTATTAGAAACAAGTGATTATTAAAGTTTTCTTAGACTCTAAAACCTATTTGCCAAAAGAAAACACAATATACAACAATCATTCAACAAAACACAATGTCTTACTCAAAGTCTACACTTCCATATGTAATAAGAGTCTATAGACTATGCACGTATACACCACTTGAATAAAAATATCTTAAGTAAAAGCCGCCAAGCAAGAACATTTTGCCTACATAAGGAATTGTTAAGACAAAACCTACATTCACTCAAATTAAACCATAACTGAATACTTCTCTTAGAGTGCAAAGAAAATGAGTTCCTCTTTGATAAAATTGGGTTTTGTTCTTGTTCTTCTTCAGCTAGCATTGTCTCATGCACAACTAAGTCCTTCCTTTTACGATAAAACATGTCCACAAGTCTTTGACATTGCTACCAAAACCATTGTCAATGCTCTGAGATCAGACCCTCGCATCGCTGCGAGCATCCTTCGTCTTCATTTCCACGACTGCTTTGTTAATGTAAGATATAAATTGGTTCAATAAATTTGTGTCGTATATATTAATTATCTAATAGTTTATCCTAAAGAGCGGGAATTTTATAAATTTAAAATCAGGATGTGATAATTTTAAGCTATTTACTTGCTGTAAAAAAAAATTACAGCTATGAAAATGTTGCGAATGACCTATGAATGTGGGTGACACTTGACTAAAAATCTGATGAAAAAGTGTTTTTCCTAAAATAGGGATGTGATGCATCGATATTGTTAGACAACACAACATCGTTTAGAACGGAGAAAGACGCCTTTGGGAACGCCAAATCCGCACGAGGTTTCGAGGTGATCGACCAAATGAAGGCTGCTGTGGAGAAAGCATGTCCTAAAACAGTTTCATGTGCTGATTTACTCGCAATCGCGGCTCAAAAATCTGTCGTTTTGGTATGCATTTTTTACAATACAATTCTTTTTTTCAATTCAAAATATGTTTCTAGATCATGTTTTCTGATTCTTAAGTAGAAGAAAATACTTAATACCAAATATAATTGTTTTGTCCATAGGCGGGAGGTCCTTCATGGACGGTTCCAAATGGAAGAAGAGACAGTTTAAAGGGGTTTATGGATCTTGCTAACGATAACCTTCCAGCTCCATTCTTTACTCTTAAACAACTTAAGGATAGCTTCAAAAAAGTCGGACTCGAACGTCCTTCTGATCTCGTTGCTCTTTCCGGTATGTTATCATTTTAAACATTTTCATCTATAGTATTAATCAGTCACAACTATATGTATGATTATTCGCAATTAGTTTATTTGTTCTCTATACATTTTTCTTTTGATTAGGTGCTCACACCTTTGGTAAAAACCAATGTCAGTTCATAATGGACCGTCTTTACAACTTCAATGAATCCGGTTTACCCGATCCAACCCTTGATAAATCTTACCTTACCACACTTAGAAAACAATGTCCACAAAATGGAAACCAAAGTGTCTTGGTAGATTTTGATTTACGTACACCAACGCTATTCGACAACAAATACTATGTGAATCTAAGAGAAAACAAGGGTCTTATCCAAAGCGACCAAGAGCTATTCTCTAGCCCTGATGCTTCAGACACTATCCCTTTAGTCCGGGCTTACGCGGATGGTCAAGGGAAATTTTTCGATGCGTTCGTGGAAGCAATGATAAGGATGGGAAGCCTTTCACCTTTAACAGGGAAGCAAGGAGAGATTAGATTGAATTGTAGAGTTGTTAATACGAAATCCAAAATCATGGATGTGGTAGATGCTAATGACTTTGCTAGCTCAATGTGATGAGCATATGAATGTTCTTCTAATAATTAATAAATTATCAATGTTATGTTTTCTTCTACTTTCTTGTTTCGTTTGCCTTACCTATGTATAATCGATAAGACTATCCAAAGTTTGATCCATAACATTATATTTTTTTACTATTAGATAGTTATGGTATGGGAACTGTCCGGCACACCTCTACACATGTTTACCACGTAACACTCACGTATAGATAACCAAACTAAGGTTGTTGGAAAAAAAAACATATGTATACATTTGAGTAGTTGTCGTAGAGCAATGAAACCTTAACGCTAACTCGATATTCTCGGGTTAAAGATGAAGAAGACAAATAAATCCTAATATAGCTAGGCTATACATGTTTTTTAGAGACAAGAAAATCTACACTTGTATGAGCCAAGTATATTAACTGAAAGCGAATAACCAAACCGAAATTTAGGATTCGGTTTGGTTTTGGGTATTACATAAGAACCATATGGTTTTGGTTTGGTTCAGGTAAATTAAAATCCAAGAACAGAATGATACATCTCAAAATCAAAACTAAAACAAAACATTACCCATGATTCATTTCGGATTCAAGTGGTTTTGACCATGCTTTTATGGTTTTTGTGAAGGGTTTTTCGGTTTCTTTGATTAAATCGGATAGTTTGGTTACTTTTGTTATAGCCCTCGGATCGACCCGTTGGAACCGAAATTTTATCGGATTTTATTCGGGTCAAAATTTAAAACTCATACCGAAGCGAACCGAAGTTTATACTAGAAAACTTGTCCTAAGACTAACAAGTTTTAAGAAAAAAAAAACACTCTAAAACATAAAGTAATTTACCAAAAAAACATGTGCAATATTCTAGGCAACTTCATATAAAGTGTTTTGGTAAGAAAGTTTTTTCTAAGTAATATTTTTATTTTAAAAATAATTTTTCTCAATATCTTAAAGTAAGCAATATATGTAGGATTTATTCTTTATTCAACTACTACGAACCAAATCACATATATTATTGGAGCCTCTTTGGTTTGAAAACTTATAGCAGCCTCTATTATTTGACTAGCCCCCGGTTTGCTTTTGTCAAACCATGAAACTTTTTTCTCATTTCATTAGCTTTAAGTCTTGTGGGTCTCTCAACCACTCCTTTAATTTGGTCTCTTATTCGAATTTGGGACTTTTGGTATCATATGAAAGGACTTGACCACAAGGTCATCAACTTCAGTCGTCGTTTAATGATTAATAAAAACGAGTTTGTGTGAAAATTGCAAACAAAAAAATTTGGAAAATGAGGAATATTAAACAATGCTAGCACATTGTTTTTTGTATTGGTATGTGCTAGACACATTCATCTTTATCATTTTTTTCTAATAACAAAATTAATATTATATGCCAACTTAGATAAAGACATGCACATTGCTTTGTTCTATGCATGTGTTTTTCACTTTTAAACACATGGTTACTCTTTAATACATCAAAAGAAAAAATTATCTACGTATTACATTTTTTTTAATAACTACGAGGTTTTATGCTTATGTCTTATATACCTTTGAATCCAAAATTACAACGAATTATATAGTTTCGTTCCAAAAACTACTCGAACCAATAACTTACTCTTTTTTTTTTCTCTTGTAACTGTTAAAATTAATCAACGTATGATAAGTATATCAATTTTACGTGAATACATACTGAATACATAAATATATATACAAAGCTTACGTGAATGGCTAGATCACAAAGTCGTCTTTTAACTTGAAGATAAAATTCATAACCATATTATATTAATAAAAAAGAAACCTAAGAAGCTGTGTCTAATTTGTCCCGGTTTACATATAAATTTAGCAATTTCCTCTTTATCATGCTATAACAAGAAGTTCATAGAAATATAATTAAGAAAAAAAAAGTTCATCACATAACCATCTTATTTGATTTTGGAATTAGTTTTTTTTATTTTAGTGGATGTAGCTTTTTTACATCTACTGTGTGTGAATATGTAGATGTGAATATGTCTACTATTAAGTTGTACATAGCATGTACAAAATATTCAATGTAATGTAGTTGGTAGTAAATTTTGGTATATTTTATATTCCGTAAGTCAACCAGTGATCTAACTAAACTTATAAACACGTGTACAAAGTAAAAATTTGGTATATGAATGACATAGACTGGATTAATTTATGAATTGAGAAGAGTTTTGTTTTGCATACCAATTTGTAATCTTGAGTTTTTTATCATAGGAATCACACCTGTTTACCATGAATCCCAAGTGTTTTGTTGATTCGCGAGTTCGATTTTTACTGGAGTGATCCCATATGTGCTGAAAAGCCAACACGCCAGTTTTTCCTGACAAATTATGATTCTTTGTTATAAGTATTCGACTCAATCCACTATCAATAAGGTCAAATAGAATCACTATGTTATAAATAAGTTTTTATTTTAATACGTTTAGAACTTTTATATTTTTTATTTTAAAATATTTTTATAAATATAACATTGACATATTCAAAATCTTATTTATCCAATTAACACATATCATAATCACGTTAACGCTAGCCCAAATTTTATATAATAAAATGGAGAAAGTAAAGTAAAAATTTCTTAAAATCGTAAAAAATTCAAAAAAAAAAAAATTGGTTCGGTATTAGAAACACGTGATTATTATAGTTTTTTAAAGACTTTCAAACCTATTTGCATAAAGAAAAAGAATGCTTTTAAACCACTTTGTACAGAATAATTCAACAAAACTATATGAACATATTGTTGTATTCAATGTTTTAACTCTTCTATATGTCTTACACTATATGAACGTATACACCACTTGTTTTTTTTTTTTTGAAAGAATGTAAAATGATATATATTAAATTTGAAATGAATGTAATATATACACACCACTTGAGTTAATAAAACAAATATGTCATAAAAGTAAAAGCCGCCAAGCTAGAACATTTTTGTCTATATAAGGAATCGTTAAGACAAAACCTACACTCACTCAAAAACTAAACCATAACCAAAACATTCTCTTAGAGTCAGAGCAAAAGATCAAAATGAGTTCCTCTTTGACAAAATTAGGATTTGTTCTTATTCTTCTTCAAGTCTCATTGTCTCATGCTCAACTAAGTCCTTCCTTTTACGATAAAACTTGTCCTCAAGTCTTCGACATTGCTACCAAAACCATTGTCAAAGCTCTGAGATCAGACCCTCGCATCGCTGCGAGCATCCTTCGTCTTCATTTCCATGACTGCTTCGTTAATGTAAGATATCACTAGACTCAATATATTTCACGTATATTATAAAGTTTTTAGTTCTTTGTTAGAGTTTATAAACTTGAAGATACTCAAAACTGTAAAATTCGTTTTGTTATTTTGGTTATTGATATTTTTTAGTTTAATTAAAAAATACAAATAACATAAAAACGTTATTTATACGTACCAAAATATAGTTAAATTATACTTTTGGAACTTTGATTCTTTATACTTTATGTTTTGTATATTAATGGACCAACCACTTCGATCTCAAAGATATCAATATAGTATTATTAGCAACTACTCTACATAGATTGCAGTGCATTCTTATCTCAAGTTTCAGATTCTGTCGTCAAAGATGATTAGTTAAGATATTTCTACAATATTATTTTGGATTTTTATTACTACATTATTAGGTAGATTAGTGATGGATCCGCATGTATGTGCGGGATTATTTTTACAAAATTACGATTTTTTTTATGTAGATGCTATTTTGGTAAAATTTTGTTATATGAATTTATTTGATAAACTATATATAGACATACAGTTGTAAAATATATATATTGTATTACATAATAAATTTTTTAAATAATTTAAATGAAAATGATAAGTGATATTACGTGTTTATTTTTTAAACTAATCAAAACATTTCTAACAGTTTGCTTAGAGATGTTAAATCGGATTTAGATTTGGGTTTAGTTTGAATTGTTTTATGTGTAGTTTAGAATGGAAAATATATCAATATAGTATTATTAGCAACTACTCTACATAGATCGCAGTGTATTCTTATCTCAAGTTTCGGATTAGTTAAGATATTTCCACAATATTATTTTGGATTTTTATTGCTACATTATTAGGTAGATTTCATGGCCCATTCATTTATGTGTTTGGCGTATTAGGTGTCGCATTAATGTTCTATTCGAATTCACGTGAATAAGTGTATGTATGCTAGTGATAGTGTGATACTAGAATTTACTATTTACTTACGGTAGAAAGGTTAAAAGAAGATGTGATGTATATTTACTATTTACTATTGAACAATGTGGTTGGTTTGACTAACTATGAAGATGTATACTTATGTTTTGGAAATAGGGATGTGATGCGTCTATATTGTTAGACAACACAACATCGTTTAGGACGGAGAAGGACGCGTTTGGGAACGCTAAGTCGGCTCGAGGTTTCGATGTTATCGATGAAATGAAAGCTGCCGTGGAGAAAGCATGTCCGAGAACAGTTTCATGTGCTGATTTGCTCGCAATCGCGGCTCAAGAATCTGTCGTTTTGGTATGAATCTTTTAGTACTATGTTATGCATATTTGGTTTCTAGACCATTTTGTTGATGTTTTACTTTGATACAATAGGCGGGAGGTCCTTCATGGATGGTTCCAAGTGGAAGAAGAGATAGCTTAAGAGGTTTTATGGATCTTGCTAATGATAACCTTCCAGCTCCATTCTTTACCCTTAAACAACTTAAGGATAGCTTCAAAAAAGTCGGACTCGATCTTCCTTCGGATCTCGTTGCTCTTTCCGGTATGTTATCAATAGAGTTTGAGACGTTTTCATATCTATATATAGTTGTAATTACTAATAACTCTATATGGTACTTCCCTTTGTTTAGGTGGTCACACCTTTGGCAAAAACCAATGTCAGTTTATAATGGATCGGCTTTACAACTTCAGTAGCACCGGTAAACCCGACCCAAGCCTTGATAAATCTTACCTCAGTACACTAAGAAAGCAATGTCCGCGTAATGGAAACCAAAGTGTCTTGGTAGATTTTGATCTACGTACGCCAACACTCTTTGACAACAAATACTATGTGAATCTCAAAGAGAACAAAGGTCTTATCCAAAGCGACCAAGAGTTATTCTCAAGCCCTGATGCTAAAGACACTATCCCATTAGTCCGGGCATACGCTGATGGTCAAGGGAAATTTTTCGACGCGTTCGTTAAGGCAATGATAAGGATGGGAAACCTTTCACCATTAACAGGGAAGCAAGGTGAAATTAGATCGAACTGTAGAGTGGTGAATTCGAAACCGAGAATCATGGATGTGGTTGATGTTGTTGATTTTGTCAGCTCAATGTGATGAAGTGAGTTTCTTGTAATAATAAAGATCTTCAAATACTATGTGGTATCAATGAAATCAAGATGTTATGTTTTTTACTTACTTCATTGTTTCTTTCACGTTTACTTCTATATAATCTATATAACTATTAAAGGTTACGTATGGAAGAAACACTCACTTACAATGATGGTCATACATCAATAATGGTGACAGTGGCTGATAAGTTTATGGATTTTGTTGGTTCATTCTTATGAGACTACATGCTCCAGCATTAATGGTTGGGGTTTAGATATTTATTAGCTTGTTTTGGAGGGAGTCTTGGAAACTCTCCGGCACAACTCCGGAACCTCGTGAAACTGGCAAAACTATATCAAACTAGGTTCATGTTTACCGCGGCACAATTGTATGGAATGAGATTATCTCTGTTGTTTTCGACCACCACTGTTAGAAGAAGCAATGGAACAACACCATTTGAAGCCTTTTGGGATGACTCCCATCAGTAATGCTAACAAGCAACTAGGTATCTTTGACAAGATGAGATGTTAAATGGTCATCTATACCCGGGCCAATAATCGGATGAAACGATAAACCGATACAAAACAGAGAATGTGAAATTCAAATAATGTTGTTCGGTGTATCTAAGCTTGTAACTATATTGGCAATATTTTTTGTTCCACCAAACATCCCAAAGGCTCTCTCACAAGTTTTATGGTCCTTTTTCAATTTCAAGTGTTCACAACATGTCAGAGAAGTCGTTTGCCGCCTACAACTTCCGGAAGTTACCTATATACATCCTGTTTTGATGTCTCCCTTATTAAAAAGACTTGTAGGTTCCAATGCAGCCATGATGGGTGAAAACATCTTATCACTTAACCATGATGGGTGAGTACAAGGTCCATTTGCCTATAGAGATAGGTATTTACAACTTACCAGAAAAAAATCACGACTCCAAATTTCACAACACCAATGGGTTCATCAGAGATCTATCGAGACCCTTTGCTGCAAAACAAGAAGATGGGAAATAAGACTTCCTTTGTTTAATCTCTTTTTCCATAGAAAAACAAGTTCTGTCCCTATCAGAATTTGTCAAGTCTGAATTTGTACCTTATCAATAGGCATTTTTGTTCTCACCGAGTCAATAAGTGCAAAATCAATATCTGCCACGACAATGCCAGTCGAAACACGATCTGCAAAGTATTCATAGTTTGATCAGAAGAGACTTTTGTCTAGTACATCTACATAAATATGATTCCTTCAATCATTTTGGGATTCTCACCAGGTAATCTTCCAACTACAGTTCCCCATGGATCAATGATCAATGTATCTCCATAACTTTCTCTTTTCTCATTATGCTTTCCTGCTTGAGCAGCAGCTATGACCTGACGATCAATCAAACAAAGTGAATTGAGCTGAGACCTTTAATCTAACATGTAATGAGAGGTTTAGGGAGAGAAGTGTGTAATCACATACATAACATTGTGTTTCGATTGCTCGGGCTCGAAGAAGAATCTCCCAGTGTGCCTTGCCAGTGACCTTAGTGAAAGCTGACGGTACTAGTAAAACCTGCACGTTTTTATGTTCACTGGACAAGTATTACGACAGAGACAGTACATACTCAAGTCTGTGGATTCTTTCTGTAAGAACTCAGTTTTATCAAATTGTTTCCTTTTTTCCTCAGAGTTTTGAAACATACATCTTTCAATTCAAACACGATTGTATCTTAAATGATTCTACCATTTCTTTCTTTGACTGAGTTTCCTAAACAATGCCAATAAGATCTTGTTGCAAAAAGCACAGGTCCATATTAATTGTATTACATTGGATTTTACCTGAGCTTTATGATCGAACCTCAGTTGCTGGTAAATCTTAGGAAACCTCAAATCATAGCATACAGTAAGGCCTAAGCGTCCAATAGGGCTGTCTACGGAAACAATCTTTGTCCCTGACAAAATACAGGATCAAATTTTTTATCTGAAATACATCAGTTTCTTGTCTTCTGAAGTGTGAAGACAAAGTGTTATTGATCATGGATCTTGGTGGTTTTGCAGTGATTATTATGATACCACTTCATGTGTTCTCAACAATAAATTCGGATTTTGAACTGTTAACTCACTCCCCAAACAGCTATTTTCTTTTTTACTCAATGCCAAAAGCAATATGCATAACAGCTATTTTTGGAAATCGACCGAAGATACTTTGTATATCGGATTGTTAAGACATTCTATCAAGATTATATTCGATAAGACCATTCTATTCACGATGATTATACGTAACAACGTTTACCTGGAACTGTAAAGCTGCTTTCCTTGTACGAGCTTCCACCAGGAACATCAACATCAAACCTTCAGAAAACATAAGTCGTCACTTAGTGATTCTAACCAAAAACAGGATCTTAAGAAACTCTAAAACTAAAATCCAAGGAGAGTCAAAGAGAGTTTACAAATGCATTTTCTGGTAAGTGTCTCGGATCATTCCAGCATCATCGATCACAACATGTGTATTACACAAATGGGTATCATCAAATCTTTCTTGAAAGCCTCCAAGAGACAACCATATATTTGAATCCCTGCAAACACATACAAGAACTACTCTAACCAAACCACAGAGGGAGCAACTCAATGTAGTAGCTAAGCGAATCTACCCAAAGAAAAACATCTATTACCTGGCTAAAGAGCAATACCGTTGCATCACTGGCCCATCTAATGCTTCAGCAACTTTCACACTCTCCCCTTCTTTATCACCCACAAAGGAGAAGTTCTCAGGGAAACAAATCAGCTTTGCACCGGCCAATGCTGCCTCCTTATATACAGTTACACATACTCAACGATTAAAAAAGACATAACAAAGTAGTAAAATTCAGATAAAAATCAAGACTTTCAAATTTCAATCACTTGAGAAAGTAGTAATCTTCGTTCTTTACTTCACAAAGTAGTTAACATTTGGATTAAAAAATTGGAACTTTCACATTCCAATCACTTGAGAAAGTAGTAATATTCATCAAAGTAGCAATCTCAAAGAATACGTATACTTACAAAGTAGTAAACTTGTAGATAAAAATTGAAACTTTCAAATTCAAATCACTAGAGAAAGTAGTGTGATATTCATCAAAGTATCAATCTCAAAGATTAAGTATACTGACAAAGTAGTAAAATTTCGGATTAAAAATCGAAACTTTCAAATTTCAATCACTACAAAACCCTCATAAAGTTTACAACTTTTCTACCCTTAAAACTTCAAAATCCAAGCAAAGAAACAAAAAGGGTAGAATCAAATTCCAAAATTGAACAAGTCAAACCACTAACATAACCAATTCGATCACAAAGTCTGAAACTTTAATCCAATCGGCAATGAAATGTAGTGATAAAATTTTTGAACTTTTGGATAAAAATTGGAACTTTCACATTCCAATCACTTGAGAAAGTAGTGATATTCATCAAAGTATCAATCTCAAAGATTAAGTATACTGACAAAGTAGTAAAATTTCGGATTAAAAATCGAAACTTTCAAAGTTCAATCACTACAAAACCCTCATAAAGTTTACAACTTTTTAATCCTTAAAACTTCAAAATCCAAGCAATGAAACATAAAGGGTAGAATCAAATTCCAAAATTGAACAAGTCAAATCACTAACATAACCAATTCGATAGCAAAGTCTCAAACTTTAATCGAATCGGCAATGAAATGTATAGATTTGGGGTGGATTTGAATTACTTGAACGAGACGAGAGCAAGTGGCGAAATTGGACATGAGATCATTCACTGATGTCATTTGAGCAGCTGCGACACGAACTGTCTTGTTTAAGGTGGCCATGGTAAGAGGAATCTGAGTAGAGGAGAGAGTGATGCGTGTTGTAAATAGAGAAGGCTTGGTGAAGTCGTGAGAAACAAAGTAAGCGTTCATCCGCACGTAGTGGTGAGACTACCGTGGCGTCAGGTCTTTGTTAATACTTCTAAGCTTACCTTAGTCTCCATGAGATTAATTAGTGGATGAAAGTTTTTAATTAGAGGATTTAATTTGAACTTTTTTTTAGTGTAAACTGTATACTGTAGGGTTTTTTTCTTTTTTTAAAAAAACTAAATTTCACAAAAATCAGCGGAAAAAAATTGTGGCGAAATTGATTTGAATATTATTAACCAGGAAATTTGAGATTTTCGTTAATTGAATCGGTATGATTAAAATTCTCGAGAACTTTTTGTTATAGCGGAGAAATTTTTGTAATATAAAAGACATGAGTACAAAAATCAAACTACGAAATTGCTATAATTTTAAGGGAGAGAAAATCTTAGTTGGGAAATTTTTGAATTTGGAAAAAAATTGTGATATTATGTTTTTTCTTGTGATTAGGGATTCTACCCAATCTTCTATATATATAAAGTTAACTTTGCTCTCTTCTCCTTAAGCCACCTCATCATCCTAATCATCATCCACATCATCTTATTATTTAATTTTAATAATTTATTTATATCATTTTATTCTTTAATCTAAATATTTATACACATTGTAAACAAGTTTTTCAAAAAGAAATATGAAAAGTCCTTTCAAACATCATCCCCATCATTTTACTTTTTAATTTTAATAATTTATTTATATCATTTTATCATTTAAGTTAAAGATTTATACACATGTAAACAAGTTTTTTCAAAAAAAAAATGAAAATTCCTTTCAGATAATAATTATAATAAAATAAATATGTTAAATTAGTATAAAGTAGATTATACTAATATGTATGTTAAATAACAATAACAAATAACAAATATAACAAAAAAAATAACAAACAAAAACATAACAAACCAAAATAAATAGATAATAAACAAGAGATCGCCAAATCAATAAATAAAAAATACAACAATCCGCGCAAAATCCAAAAATCATTCTCAACTTTTGGACCATCATATTAAAAGGACTCACAATATTAACATCATCTAGATCTATATTTGGTGGGAGCCTTAATAATACATTTTTCTACAACTCTCCATAACACTTCTGTTTATGCTTACACATCGATTTATACTATAGACACTTAATTTCTCAACTACTATCGAAACTAAAATAAAATAGATTTTCTATACAAACACAGCATGAGATAGAAAATAAAAATATGTTATATTGAAAAAAATAAGTACGAAATAAAACACGAATCAATTACTCATAAACAAAGTAATAAAATTCCCGCGCGTAGCGCGAGCAACTGACTATATTATATAAACCTTGGTTTTCAAAGTCAGCAATTAACAAGATCGTGACACGTGTCAATTATAAACGATAAGATGTTGACACGTGGCATAACTAATTTTGTTAATATTTGGATAAAATAGAAATATTATTAACCCTATCGAAGAAGGAGATATATAAAATAAATATTATAAAGAATTATATATTAAAAATTATTAATACAATTAAACAAATAATCTAATTTCAGTTATGTCATCTTGGTTTATTAATAAGATAGGGATTTAAAATTTATAATTAACAAGAATATATGGCGGTTTTTGTTTACAGAAGAGGATTAAGGTTTAAACTTTAATTTTACAATTAAATCAGGTTATTTGTTGGTTTGGGTATATAAATGATAAATAAGAATTATGTTTTATCTTTATAAATTAAAATTATGGTTTAAGTTTAACAATTAAATGAGATTATATGTCAAAACTTGGTTTTTAAATTTACTAACTCACGTGATCATGATAAGTGTCAAGTAAAAACATAAGATGTCGTAATATTAAGATACAAATAGAATTTTTAAACAACATTAAAAAAAAATTATAAAAAATTAAAGAGAATTTTTGAGAAATACCCCTTTTGGTGTACCCCTTTTCAAAAATACCTCCTTTATCTATTCATGTTCAAAAATATCCATGTTTAAATATGAAAAATTATAAAATTTTATATGGTATATAAGGTACTTCTATATAATAACTACTACTTGGAAATTTGATACAAATATTCTATAATGTTTTAAAAGGTTTTAAATCGTTTTTACAAGTTTTATAAGGTTTTAAAGTGGTTTTTAAAAGGGTTTATAAGGTTTTTAAAAGGTATTTATAAGCTATTTTACGCTATTTATGAAAGATATATAAAAATTTAAACATATATAAAGGTAATTTGTGTGTATATTTATAAGTTTTCACACATATTTGGATAAATTTCAACATTTAAAGTGGTTTTTTTATAAAGTTTGAAAT